ATTATGATAAATAAAAATTGAATCAGGTATAAAATTAATAAGGTCTCTAAAAAAATTTTCATTGAATAAAAATTTCTAAAAATAGTTTTGATGGTTACTCATGTTTTATATATAAAGATTAATGTTATTAATTATATCACTGTTATGATTTTTAAATTTTAAAATAACTCTAAATGATCTAATTTGAATCGATGGTTTTTTATTATCTTTATATACAAAATTTGAGTTGCTAGAGTATTCATTTTCTCGCACTAATAAGGGTAAAGAAAATATTTTCCTCTATTACATTTAATTGGGGTTCATTCGCCTTTTTCAAAAATAATAATAATAATTTGTTGAAGAAATATTAGTACTTGTGTTAATTTTTAAGGACATTTATAATTTTGTATTTTTAAAAGATTATTAGTAGTAATTTTAATTTAAAAAGAAAGACTTTTGTATAATAATTTGTAGTTTATTGTTTTTTCTAGACTTGAAGTTGAAGGAAAAATTTATATTATAAATCATTCAATTAAATTTGTTAATTATTATTAAAAATTAAATTTGTTAATTATTATTAAAAATTAAATTTATTAATTTAAATTAATGATAAAAAAAATTTAAATTTTGGTGGTTCAATCTGTCAACCAATCCCTAAGTGAGACAGACCAAAATTTCTAACTATTAGGTTAGGTGGACTAGTCATCCCACCCTATTTTTTGTTGGTTGATGGTGGGTTAAAACAAGTTGGATTAACCTATTTTATTATCCTTACTATTCATATGTTCAGATGATACAACACATGTTAATGACTCAATTAATGAAGAGAGGTTTAAATATCACATCAACCATATTTATTTTTCACATAAATTCATCATTAATGATATAATAAATGAAATAAACAATCGTATTATAAAATAATCAATCAACATTAAATATAAAAAAAATTTGTAATAACCAACATTTATGATATACAAATCATTACTATTTTTCTTTTCTAATTATATAAAAATATTTGTGAATTCATTGACATGTTTGAATGTTATGTATCAATAAAAAATATATTCATATGACACGTGTCAATCACAAAAGATTTGGATATCATGTCTCAGCTATAATTATTTTTAGCAAAAACTTGTTATTAATGATACAATAAATAAAATAAACAATCATTAAAAGCAAATTATTAAATAGTCAAATCCACATTAAATATAATACATTACGTGATTAAAAAAATATTTTTGATTTAAAAATCATTGTTATTTCCTTTTTTCTTATTATAAAATATATTTCTTGAAAGTTGCTTAAATAAATATTTCATATTATAAAAATATTAGTTAACAATAATGTGTGCAACTCATCCTTGTTTCGTTTATGTTTATTAGTATAAAATATATTTCATAATATATTTACATGTATAACCAATAAGAAAATTATAAAAATAAAAATATTAGACATTAAATTGTACAATTTTTTCCTTCTATAATTTTTAAAGTTGGTGCCTCAAATAGTTTAAGACGCAATTGAGACATCAACTTGGTCCTTATCAAGAAGATGAGCTAGAGGTTGTTGATTGAGGTTGAGAACTAAAAAATGATAAAAATCGCACATGTGTTTGCATAAATTTGTTGAATAAATTATTTTTGCCAAACAAATTTCAAGATGAGACACAAAGAAGTGTCTCGAATGAAAATTTACTAAGCAAATTTAGGATACAAACACAAGGAAAATGTCTCAACTGAAAATTCATTAGACGAAATTACTTTTATTGGCAGAATTAATAGTTTGATAGAAGACTTATATATGATGTTTAATTATGATGAATTATGTTATCTTATGTTGTGCATGATGTTGTAAGTTGATTTAAGATGTAAGTTTATTAAGTTGTAAGATGTTTTTATGTTGAGTGATAAATTTTGAAGATGCTTAAATTGTGAGAAGTTATTTTTATAAAGTTGTATGTTCATTAAGTTTAATAGTAGTAAGTTGTTGAAGTTGACTAAGTTGTGGTATATACATGTTATGCATATTTTATCAAGTTGTAAGTTGAAAACTAAAGAAGAATAAGTTGTTTTTACGTTGTAAAGATCTCATTATGTAGATCTAAAGTTGGGATGCTATAAGAAGTCCAATGAAAAAAATTCGTTAGTTAGAAAGTTGTCTTTTAAAGGAAAGTTGTTCCTCAAAAGTTATCTCCTCTAGGTTTTTAAGTTGAAAACAATATAGAAGTTAGGTCAAGTCATACTTGTCATGAATAGCTAAAAAGGCAATGTCAAAAAGGTGTGTGGTACTTAGAGGATAGGCAACAAGCTAATTTTATTAAAAACTATTGGTTAATACATGTCAATGTTGTGAGACTCATTCAAGCCATTTTATTCCTAATGCTAATACTTGACCTTCTTAATTTAAGTGACGAAATCTAACAAATCAAAAGTTGTTTACTTGACTATTATGTCAAACATTGCTCTCACTTGGTTTTACTAAGGATTAGACGTTGTCACTTGGCCCAAAGAAGAAAGTTCAAACATTGTAGGTTTGGTAGAGTTAAGCCACTTAAATTGTTCATTAAATTGTAGGAGATATCCAAAATTTAAAATGCATGAAAATGCCTAAGTTGTCATTTGTTGCATTTAAAGTTGATTTTGAGTTGTTAGCTTGAAAGTTGCACATGATATTAAAGTTAAAGATGTTTCAGTTGCTTCTATTGTCATTTGTTTTTAGTTGTTTTTAAATTGAAGTTGTATTTTAAGTTGTATAATAATTATAAAATTTAAAGTTGTATATGTTGTTCAAAGTTAAAGTTTTTAGCTTTTAAAGCTTTCTTTTATATGTTGATGTCTTTTTATATAAGCTCACCCTTATGTTTTTGTGTAGGATTGAACCAGGTTATCAATACACATCTTCTAAGAAATATTATTTCAAATGAAGGTTTCTTATTAGTTATTTGAAATGGTAGTCTTATGAACTAGGTCTTCAAGACAAGTCTCTTAAGAAGAAATGTTTTACTTGAAGCTTTCTAATCAATTACTTGAAATACTCATTTACTTGTTTGGGATAAACATCGTCATTTTTGCTAAACAACAATCCTTGACATATACAAAATTTCCTTTTAGATTGTTATAAGGATGTCTTCATAAAACTTGTAGATAAATATTTGGACCTTTTTAGCACAAGATATTTGCAAAATATTGCAACAACATCATGTTATTTTGGACAAAAATCAGCGTTTTCATATTGCACACATAATTTATCCATGATAGAAACCTTATTAGCCCATGAAATTTTCATCAAAGTAGTAAAAAAAATTTATCTCTTTCCATAGCCACCAAGCGTGACTCAAAATCATGTCTACAAGACTAGATATGCTTAAAATATTGCATTGTGTTAATGTTGTAACTCAAAATGATGTTTCCATTTTGATTATCATATCTGTTCATAATATAGGCTTTTCCAATGCACGAGTTCTTTATAAAGGTTGTAGATAATTAGTCCAACTTTCCATAGCCACAAAGTTTGTCTTGAGATCATACATACAACTTAAGATATGTGTAAAATACAACAACTATGTTTTGTAGTCAAGATCAACATCATCTACAACTTATTTTGCAGTTTTGCACATTATCTAATGCATATAAGCTTTTGAGTTCTTCATGAAGAATGTATATACTTCTTCAGGCTTTTCATAGCTACCAAGATCTCCTCAAACAAATTCCCAAAACTCAAGATATCACACAAGTGGACTTCATAATCTTGTTAAGATCTTCAATATTTAATGCATAGTTAAGACATCCATTATGAATTATTTTGAGTTCTATATTTTGAAACTTTATTATAATATTTATGTCATATTGATACTATTTTGTTTGGCTTAAACTTGTTCTTTCTTGTCCACCTTCTAATAGTCATTATAAATCAATATTGAATTTACTTTAATTGATGTTTTGAATATATTAAGCAAACTCATTAATAATAAATATACTTAAAAAGCTAATGACTTTTGTTCATAAGATTTGTCATAAACATAAAGGGTTTGATGATCTTATGAAGGGAAAGTGCAATACTATTAGAAATTCTTTATCTTTATCCTTTAACTGAGATGTTACATACTCCTTTATATGAATTATTTGTATAGAACAATTGAAATTATATGTGATTTTAAGATGTTCAAATTTATTTAGATAAAACAAAAAAGCCCGTTTTTGTGTAGTAAATCAACTTGAGGGAAAAAAAAGTTGTTGAAAAATAATCACAAATTTAAAATTTGTAACTTAGTAAAAAAAAATTTTAAAAAGAAAATTTTTACAAATTTAAACTATTCTTTCAAACACATAACTCTTTCTGTAAATAGATTTTTCCCAAAAAAAAAATAACTTAAAAGAGAGACTGTAATCTCTGTCAAACATGTTCCAATTTTTTATTTTTTATTTTTACTTTTGTCAATAGCAAACTTATAATAACAAAAAATATATATATGATTTAAAAAAAATCATTTTATTAATGCAAAGTATTCACATATTATTTTTCATAAGTTAATTGACATAATAACAAAAAATATATATATGATTTAAAAAAAATCATTTTATTAATGCAAAGTATTCACATATTATTTTTCATAAGTTAATTGACATGAAATTTTCGCTCTTTATCACGTTTTTTTTTTTTTTTCAATCAGAAGACATTGGGTTAAACTTATATTAAAATATTACTAATAGTTTATTCGGTGTACTTGTTTTTATCTTTTCTTACATTGGAAGGTTTAAAATCATTTATTATCATGCACATGCAGCGGCCATAAAACTTGGTCCGATGAATTGATTCTAAAAGAGGCCCGACAAGTGTGGCAAAACTGGGAAACAAATGGAGCTGTGTCTGATAAAAATTAATGCAAGTTGAGGGCCATATCAGTACTCTCGTATATGTCCTATGTTGTGAGTTTTTTTATTTATTAACATTAACATGACATGACACGAGTAGTTTATTTTTTGTTCAAACTCCAAAGGTTCATCCTCCACTCACTTAACCATCTCCTTCCTTTCTCTTCCATTTCCATATTTAGCAACTCTTCCCTCTCTCTCGCTCTGTTCTGTCACCGAGCCTCAGGAGCCACGAAAACACAGGTACATGTTGTGCCTTTGCCTTGCCAAACCTGCAATATTCCTTTGTTTTGTTTTGTTTTTCCCTTTTGAATTTCCCTGCATTTACTCACTATTGTTTCCGTTACAAGTAATAATATGCGTTGAAGGGTTATTCTTTTTTATTTCTCCCTCTCCGCATTCTTTTCTCATTAATGGCAATCCCATCATTATTGCACCGTTCCCTCTCCTTGTCTTGGAATCAGGTTGGTGCCCATTATTATTGGGGTGGAAAAGTTTGAAACTTTGAAGAAAAAAAAATTAAAGGGTGGAATGCATGCCAATCGCTTGATTTTTTTATTGTTAAATCATATCAAACGTTTATTTGTGAGAGAGGAGGGTCCCTGGGATAAGTTTTGGTGGTAATTTCAATCACCATGTGGTAGAATCATCAAATTTAGGGGAATGGTCCGAAAGGGTGGTGGAGCAATGGAGTAGAGGACACAATTGAATGGTGAAGTGAAACATTGAGAGCATGAGCTAGGTGGCTATGAATATGGACTCAAAAGAAGAGGCTGAGCCTCAAGAGGAGAGGCCCTCATCGCCAATGCGGGTCCTGCAGCAGTTATCTGAGGGGGCATTCAGAGTTGCTGGGGAAGCATTTCACAATATGTACACAGGTGGTGGGTCAGGCATGTCACCCATGGGGCCAGGTTCACATAGACGTAGTCAAAGTGAACTTGTCACTAGAGGATATCAGCGTACTCAGAGCCTTCAGAAATTGAAATCTCATGTGAACAAGGCTTGGCGCTGGGGTGGCAAAACGCGTGAAGAATGTTTGTCGAGTTTCAATCCTGAGGTCATGGCGAACCAGAAACGTCAGTGGTATCAGCTTCATCCTAAAACTCTGGTATTCATTTTTTAGAATCCCTTCATGTACTATATTTATTTTTGAGGAAAATATTCCTTGCTTGATTGATCTGCAAACAGTTATGGAATTTAATTCACTTACCTTCTATAATGTACAGTACAGAGTAGAGTACTATCAATGATGATAAATTTCAATAGCTCATGCTACTTCATGTTCCACCTTAGAGTAGAAGATCATTTTCCTCTCTCAATTACTTGTTCTTTATTGTTTTATCAACAAAATCTGCTAGGAAACATTTTTGTCCTCTAGGAAATTTAACTATTCTTTGAATTAATTCTCTTGCCTGTTTTCAAAATTATAGTTTTTTATGCAAGCAATATTTTTAATGTCAAACATACATCACCAAAGGGAATTGATAGCAGCTGTCTCTGTATTAAAGTCTAGCCCTATCAAAAAGAACTTAGAGCATAAGTGTTGAGGCTTTTTGATTTTTCTTATATTTGTATAGTTAACCATGCCATACTGGTATATGCATAGCGAGTATACTGTTAATACTAAGTTATTTTGAAGGTTCTTCAAGTAGGCTTGGAACATTAACTATGGTGCATTATTGCACTAACTTTTAGGAGGTGACTTTAAGCACCATACAAATATTTGTAAGAAATGTATGCTTATCATTTTGTTAAAGTAAGTCACTTGAATATTACTGTAGGAGTGTGTAAATTATAAGGAGCCAACATCGCTCTTTGAACATTTTGTGATTGTGGGGCTGCATCCAGATGCTAATTTGGAAGCCGTGGAGCATTCATTTGCAGGAAGGAAGAAGTGGGAAAAAGAGAAGGAAAAACTTGAATTTCTAGATTACAAAGTGCTAGAGCAACAAAGGTCACCAGAACCAATTTTGGAACCTCAGGTTTGTTAGATATCACTATTTTTTAAAACATACATTTGATACAAAAATAACTATAGCGTTATCCCACTAGATGGGATCGAATACATGGGTCACATGATGCCACAAAACCAAATTTTCTTGAATATTATTTTCCATGAGATCCCTTTCAATGAGTACATTTGATTGTAAAGGAAATTTTATTAGAGGGAAAGAAAGAAAGCACAATTAAGGGAGGGTAAGATCTCCTCCAAAACAGAGGAAATAGAAGTGGAAATATAGAATGAAAGAGATGTGACTGACTGTCCAGTCTCTGCATGTTAGAAACAGAAAATTTGAATTTTAATTTGATTGTTATTCACTATTGATAAACTTTTAAGGTTAAATTTTCAAGCTTTGTAAATATATTTAGTGTTATAGGCTGATGGGCGTTGCGCATATCTGGTGTCTGGTTCTCCTATGAATATAAAAGATGAATTTCAAAACATATATGAAATATTCCTACGAATCAAAAAAGATTTATGAAATATGTTTAGGAATATTCAATATTATATGCTGCTACCATACAAATAATCTCTGCTTACAAAAAAATGATAGTAAAGTTTCCTAGCAATCAAATTGTAACTGTTTCCTTATTTGTATTTACAATTTAGTCTATTGCTATGGAACAATAGGTTCTTTGTAGCTGATGCCTTTTTGCAAACATGCAGTTACTATTCAAATATCCTCCTGCTAAGAAGCTAACAATGCGTATGACGGATTTATCTTCCTTTTGCTTTCCTGAAGGTGTTAAGGTCTGTTTGATGTTATTTTACCTACTTAGAGCTGTCAAATTGTTTTTCTTTGTTAAATGCCACCTTACAAATTGTTTGCCATAGCTTACCTTTGTTTGTATTTGGAGCTACTGAATTGGTCCTACCATCATTGCATGTTGCTCCTGTCCTATCCTTCATATGTAAATGACAAAACTGTTTGATTTCTTGGTGAATAAATTGTTTGATTTATCTTGGAGTTAGAAAGTTCTGTTACCTTTTTTTTATCATTATTACATTGCAGTATATGGAAGTGTGAACATAATTTATATCGCTCTGGTATCTGACATAGTAAAAACAACTTCAACAATAGTTGCCTATTCAATATTATGATGATATGGCAAGAGAGAGACAAGAAATTTTAAGATGTAGTTGCTTTCACAGGCAACATACTTACCAAGTTCAAAATTGAAAAGTGGGGTCAGCAGGAGAGAGAAACTAAGGAACAATATCTACAATAAAGTTGCTCTCTAAGTCTATGGAATCTAGAGAATCCTTACTATACTTGCATTTTTTTTTTTTTACTGAAGTGACTTGCATTCATAGGTTTAGCTTATTAGGATTAACTGATATTCTTTCCAAATTTATATGATTTCATAATTGTAAATAATCAATTTTCCATCTTTTATTTTTGTGGTAGAATCTGGCATTTTGTTACTAAGATAAAAGTAACAATTTTGATAAACAGTAGGTCTAATTAAGTTATAAAATCTGCTTTCCTGCAAACTGTTTCATTTGTTAAGTGTTGATTTGCAGGCAAGGTTGTTGGAGAGGACTCCATCTCTAAGTGAACTGAATGAACTTGTCTATGGACAGGTATGCCATATCAAACTCGGAGTTGTTTTTTCATGAAAATAGATGGTTCTTTTGACAAGCTAGTTAGAATAATTTATCATCTAGTGTTTTAGATAATTAATTCATACTATATAAGTATAACTTAATACTCGGTCTAAGTACTAAGGCATGCATATGAAGAGAAATATTGAGTAGCTCTATATTTCATGATCTTTCATTTTTGTTGCAAAGAAGCATTGACTCAACCAATATTTTTTATTGTATACTTAACCTTCTATCAAGCACTTGCCACCTTTGCAACCAAAGATAATTTTTTTTCTTGCTTCTATTCTCTACAGGAGCATTTAGGCAAAGATGATCATTCATTCGTCTTCACAGTCAAGGTAATTTTTGTATTGATATCATCTTTGAACCTTATTCTGTTAGCCTGATATGGTTGGTGATTGTTCTATTGAACTCTTTTTTGACTTACCTGTACCCTGGTTCACCTATGCTTGGTCAAACTATGCAAGATTCTGTGTCTGTGTACAGTTTGTGCATATTTTTATTTTGAATTTATTTTTTGAAAATTGTAGAGTGAGCCAGGGAGGAGGGGGTAAGTTATCTTGCAGTATATATTTTTTCTAAGCTACTTAGTAAGTTAGTATTTTTCTATGAGATAAAACTTCAGAAGTATGTGTGTCTAACAATTGTCTCAACAATTCAGTACATTTAAGATGTTAAAGAGCATCCTAATGTTATAGCTCAAGTTGCAAGTGAGAAAAGGAGAACAAAAAATAAACTCGTAATTTGTATCATGGTTCCTTATGGACAAACAGATAGGGCCTAAAAGCATGGATCTCACATAAACTTACTGCTACCTTGCTACAATATATATGAGCATAGGGACATTCAATGTGTGTGTGTGTTTGCTTACAGTAATGATTGCTGAAACACTTTATGTGTACCTTGGTGTCATGATCAGGCAACAGACAATACAACACTTTATGGAGTTTGCTTACATGTGCCTGAAATTGTTCAGAGGCCCCCTGGTATCTTAGGCATACCATCTTCTTTTTCTCACCCCTCTGGAGGATGCAGCCGTTTTCTGGTTTCTGCGCCTCGCTGTTACTGTCTTCTGACTAGAGTTCCTTTCTTTGAGTTACATTTTGAGATGTTAAACAGGTTAGCATAATTTCTGGCTTATTGGCATGTACTGACTTACTTTTCATGGAAAAGACATGCTTAGTATCCTTTGGTTTTCCCTAGATCCAGTAGAATTTATTATGCCTTACTTGGATGCAGTCTCATTGCACAGGAGCGTCTGAATCGGATAACTCAGTTTATAAACGAGATGACTCTCACTAGCTGCATTCCATCAACAGCCAAACTAGATGATCAAAGGAGTTCAAATGCTTACTCCCCAGATAGGGAGTCATTTAGTGACTGGATGAATTGTGCCATACCTGTTGATGGTGCAGCTGTGATTTCTGCTGCTGCTGCTGGGATTATATCTGATGATGAAATGCTGCAGTTATCACCTAAAATATGGGATTCTCGCTGTCAATCTCCTGTAAGTGTGACTGCCAGTGATACATCAGATTATTTTCAATATAGGGACATAGACAAGGATGGCAGGAAGAATCTGCAAGATCAAGACAATTGTGCTTTTGAGACACTAGAAACTCATGATTCTATGGAAAGAATGCATGGAAATTGCGAAAATGATCAAGTTTCTCCAAAAGTTGGAACACCCTTATCTGCTCGGAGTAATGTCTTGGACCATCTTGGAAGTTCTGAATCACTTTTCAGGTAATAAATTTATAATTATAGTATTCATTTCAATTTTACTTTTTAATAGATCACATTTTTTTCCTTTTAACTTATTGTGCTATGTTTCTGGCAATAATTTGCCTCCTCATCTGAAAATCCTTATGGTGAGTAACTTTTTTGTATTTGATGTAGTTCACTCACCTGTCTGCTGTGTGTGTGTGTGTGTTTTTTTTAATGACGTTTAAAGTTTAATCCCAAATCAATTTCATTACCATATTGTTTTCATTGGCAGTCCAGTTAGAAGCATGGCATCAGAAGATGAGGACTATGTTTTCGCAAACAGTGAAAGAGATTATGGGAACAAGTTGTTAATGGAACAGGCTACGGTAAGTCTAAATGATTTTCCATTTATTTAGCATTGGTTAAACTGACGTGATGCTTGATTATTTTACATGCTTTCTCTTTTGTGAATGGCTTTGATAGGAGAATCAGAATGATTTGCTACAGATAGTGTGTAGATACCATGACCAACCTATTCCACCTAGAGGAAGTGAATTTGTTTTCCACCCTCTTGAACATCTGCAACCTATTCAGTATATACGACATTCAGCTTCTTCTCTTGGCTTAAACGATGATTGTTCAAATTGTTCTGAAACAGCTCAGGTAATTCTTAAGTGATTATTAACGCAATACTTATCCAAAAATATTACTCCTTACAACTATACTTGGTAAAAGGTCAATGCAAAGCTGGCAGCTGCTGAGGAGGCCCTATCATTATCAGTATGGACAATGGCAACTACATGTCGAGTCCTGTCCCTTGATAGTGTAAGCACATATTCCAGTTGGCATTCAACAATGTTAATGTTTGTCTGAACTCAAAAGTTCTTTATAGAAACTATTCTTAGAAACCATTTTCTGCAAACAGAAAATCTTCTAAAACTATTATTTTTCCTCTAATTTCTACTTTTTCTGATGTTTTATGCAGAAAAATATTTTCACATTGATTTTGCTTCTCTCTCATGTTTCCTTTTCCCATTGCTTTATTCTAGTTCTTATACTGGATAACATTATTTTATTGAATTATTGCTTGCACCATCAGTTCCTAAATTACTATTTATAGGTGTACTTTGGTTCAACCCAAACCCAAACCCAACCAAACAAGTATTTTATATCCTCTAACTAAAATGAACCCAAATATATCTTGTGAAAAGGTAAAGAAAAGAAAGAAGAATGTATCATGTGTATATCCATGAACATTTCCATTCCTTATTTATTTATTTCACATAAATAAGCAGATTCCTTGTTATTCTATATTATGTGTTATTCCACAATCAGAAAAGGAATGGTGCTGAAAATTAATCCTTACCACTAGCAGAAACAATTTAGTTTGTCAAAGAATATGCTTTACTTTGCTTTCTTTGCATCATGTAGGCTGTTCCCCATGGCCCCTGCCTCACCATTTTCGTATTGAAGATTTTGACTCATTCCATTTACTATATCAAATGCAAATATCCTGCCACTTTCTTCATTGACTAAATATTTTATTTTTTATCCATAATGTTTACTGGCAGGTGCTGACATTAATTACAGGAGTGTTGCTGGAAAAACAGGTGGTAATAGTATGCCCAAATCTGGTAAGTCTTTAAAACAATCATAATAATTGATGGTCTTTGATTTTCATTACAATGTTGTATGCTTTAATACATAGTTGTTGCTGTTGATTAATTTTGATTGATGCAGTGAGGAACTGTAACCTGCCTTTCATTTTGGCTATTTTTGACACAATGCAGGGTGTTCTATCTTCCACAGTTCTTTCTCTTATTCCCATGATTCGTCCATTTCAGTGGCAGAGTTTATTGCTCCCGGTGAGTCAGTGGATTCTACAAGCCCTGGTTTTAGATTTTCCTCACGGCATTGTCACGTATGTCTAACAATATTTTAGCCTTGCTTTTCAGGTTTTACCGGGTAGAATGATTGATTTTCTTGATGCCCCAGTTCCATATATTGTGAGTTTCATTTTCATTGATGTTTATAAAATATGTCGCTCCATATTATCTTGTTTTGTTGACTACTACTTCAAACTGAATTTTTCCCACGATGGTTCTGTTATGTGAGAATTTAGCTCTTCTTTTCCTGAGTATATATTTTTTAGTTTTAAAGGATCGTCTCATTGTTTATCCAATTTTCTGTTGTTCTTGCAGGTTGGCATACAACATAAACCAGATGACATGAATATGAAAACTACTAATCTTGTTCTTGTTAATGTACAGAAGGATCAGGTTTGTAATTATGTTTTAAAGACGATCACATGATATTCCACTAGAAATGTGGGGAGTCTGTTGGAAACTTTTTGCACTGCCATATCTTTGTCTATTTCCAAATTTTGGTCTTGTAAATATATTTTTAGACCCCATTGTTGGTTTTTAAACAAAGGATAGCATTTGATGTACCATGCAGAATTTTTTGCTCATGTTCCTCTTCCGTTATTTTTTCTTCGGTGTAGGTTACAATGTGTCACTTACCGAAACTTCCACAGCATAAAGTGCTTGTCTCTCAGTTGACTCCAATTCATGCTAAACTTTCAAAGGAAAGATCAATTGCTACAAAGCATCCTGTACATAGGTGCAACGAAGTCCAGGTTTTTTTAGTTCACATACTGAAAGATCTCTCTCTCTCTCTCTCTCTCTCTATTTTAGAAAAATAAGTATTTATCTATGGCTGCTTCACAAACCAGCAGTTTTCAGCTTCTAATGCTTCTTCCATTAGTGGCAGCTGCTGATTTTTACTTGTTTACAGGCTGAAGCTGCAACCAAGTTTTTGAATATAATATGGCACTATTTGGAGTCACTTTGTTCGGATCTGAAATCTCACACGATAACTAGTGTACAAGGAAATAACGACAGGGTAAGATGACTAGTTCTTATGATATTTATTCTTGGAAATCATTTACTTTTTCCTACCTCATCATGGATTAATTTTTCAGGTTTCTTTACTTCTTAAAGATAGCTTCATTGATTCCTTTCCTGCTAGGGACCAGCCATTCGTTAAGGTAACTACAACCTTTTATTCTTTGAAAGAAAGATCATAGGAAATTTTCATTCTTCATAAGCATTGAAATAAGGACAAAACTTAAATACAGTTTTTTTTATATACAATTGGTATTGTTTTTCAATCAAAATTGAAATTTTACCTTGGTAATATTCGTAAATGTATATTACTGGAATTTGCATTAAAAGTAAATGTATATTCATGTGGTAAAATTTCAATTCTAATTAGAGAACAACATAATCGTACCTAAGTTTTTTCTTTCAAATAATTGTTACATATAATTGTGTAGGTCCTAGTGAGACTGATAAGCTCTATACTGATAATTGATTTTGAATCCTTGGCTTTGCAGCTATTTGTAGATACACAGCTCTTCACGGTTTTATCAGACTCTCGTTTGTCAAGCTTTGAGAATGGCGAGTCATAGCCCCATGTCACATTAGTGCAATACATCTGTTAGACATGTTTGTTCAGTGAGGAAGATATAGTTCTTGATTTCATTGAGGAACACCTCCAGTCTATATCCGAGAATCCAAGGTTTGGAATGACACAGTAAGTTGATATGTGGGTTAAAAATTTTGTATAATGTTGATAGTAATAGACTGAAAATGCCATGTACTAAACCACTGGTGCTAACCCTGAAGGAAGAAATCACTGTCCCTATTTTTTATTGAGGGATATGTTCTTGTGGGGTTCAGCTGCTCTTGTTTTGTAATCGAGTAATTGTGAGTACATACAAACTATTTCCCCTGTCCCTGTAGCATACATGTCATTTTTTTTTTCTAGATAATGCAGTGCCACATAGGGTCTGTTTGGATGAACTTTTATAGTAGAGCTTATAGGAGAAGAGCTTATCTAGAAGCTCTATTGTGAAAAGCTCCATGTAGATAAGTTTATTTTGTGTTTGGATGATTTATATTTAAGTGCTTATTCAAAATAACAAGTGGTGTTTGGATAAAATTATAAAAGCACTTCTCTATAATTTAAATTACCAAAAAGGTCATCAAAATTAAATAATTTTAAATACTATTAAAAATGATTTTTTATCTATTGTTAATAAAAAATATTTATCTTATAAAAAAAATATTTTCCTTTCTACATTAATAATTTGCGTATTATTTCTGCAACAATATAATCTTTCACATTTATTAATAATTTTATTATTTCTGCAATTATAATTTATAACAAAATATAAAATATCATTAACTTCATAATAATATCATTAATTATTAATATAATCAATATTAAATATGTAGGAACACATAAAATATAATTGCCATTCAATATAAAACTTTTCAAGTGTATCTAACTCATGGATATATAACAATATCTTCTAATAAAAAGAAAAGGTATTCAAAACATAAGAAATTAAATATGTGATAGTACTAGGGCTAGCTCCATTTTCCTCCTCGTCATCACTACCTTCATATTTTGTGTTTTCATCACGTAAATCAATTTCTTGATTACTCTTATCATTTCTTTTAATAAAATTATGTAAAGCCATGCAAGCAACAATGACTTGGCTTTGTGTCTTCAAAGAAAAATGAGTCATATTACCCAATATCTTCCATCTCACCTTACATAATCCAAATGTGCACTCAATTGTACTTTGAAGATTAGAATGGTAATAATTAAAAACTTTAACTCTTCCACACTAGGCCAATTTCTAAATTGTGGAAGATGATACCTATTTTTCTTGTATGATCTTATAAAACCTGTAAAATTAGGGTAGCTAGCATCAACAAGATAGTAGTTACCTAATAAAATAAAATAATATCATATGTTAACACACAAGTTTATAAATGATATATATTTGTTATGTAAATGATAAGTACCTTGAGGAGTAAAAACTCTATCCCTTCAAACTATTTTTGCTTGTGGAGCTTGTTTTGGCACTTAAATTCCAAGACAGAGAGTGCTAACCAGAAAGTTCATAAGGAGACCAAACTCTTTGGAGTGTGTGGCATTGACCAAGTTCATAGGGCAAAGATCTAAACTAAAAGTTCTTCAACAGGATCAAAATTTTCAGCCTATTTCCAAGACTTAGATATTTTGGTACCAAATTAGTTAGCTTATTTGTTGACAATTCAAGCTCAACCAACCTCCCATTCTGGCCAAGACTTGAAGGAAGCATTCCAGTGAAGTTGTTCTACCAAAGCTTGAGAGTCTCCAACTTAGGTAGCTCAACAATGAAGTGAGGAATTTTCACCATGCAACTTGTTAATAAACAAGTTCAAGAGGGTAAGCTCATGTAAAGATGAAAAATCATAAAGGATGTCTTCGGTGAGCATGTTGAATGACATATCAAGAGCTTTCAAGCTAGTCAAATTTCCTAATTGAGGAAGGATTGAGCCACTTAGCTTATTGGTTTGCAAGAAGTGAGTGCCTAACATGATGAGGTTTCCCAACTCAACATGTTGAATTGGCAACTCAAGTCAACTCAAGTTTCCACCAAACATGCATGTTGAGGAATCTCAGCCTTAGTAGCTTGTGAATATCACGTAGAAACTCCCCAAAGAAGTCATTTCCTTGGAGTGAGACACTCTCAAGGGTCAAGAGTCCTGTGATGGGAGGTGAAAGTGACCCTGAAGTATTCAAATTGGATGTCAAGTGACACCACATACATGTTGCCATGACCACACTAAATGGCATACCAAGTGCAAAGGAACAAGTAGTCTGACATGTCCCAACTTCTTAGAGAATAGTTGGCAACTCCAAAACCTTGTTTCATGGTAACTTTATAAGAGGGTCCAACATGATAATTGATTCAAAATTGGAAATTTTCTTAATGCAGCTCTAGTGACTTGATTAAACCATCCATAGTGACGATCATGGTCTAGAATGAGACTTTATAACAATTATATGATTTCTCTTAATTTGTTCTTTTAGTTTTATTATAAACCAAATTTAGAGGGTCTATAATAATTTCAATTAATTTGGATTCTATAAACTACATCCAAAATTGGCTCTAGTAAACATTTATGACTCAGATCGTTACAATCATGCTCAACTCACTAACCACCATTTAACATGAAAAAATTTTGTTTCACAAAATAGAGAGAAGAAAATTAACACAAAGCATTCACAAAAGATAGAAAATTGACAATTTAAATAAAATATTGAGATTTAAAGATGAAATTTAGCATAAACTAACCTTTGATGCTAACAAATTGAAGAAGAAGGATGAAAGAAAATATAAATGCACACTAAGAAAAGAGGAACACGATTAGGAAAGTGAAAATAGAGTCATCAAAGAAAGTTAGAACTCATGAGCCAACCTGACCCACCACGAGTTTGAACTAAGTTGGACCAAAAAAATTAGTCCATTTCAATTATAAGGAAATCTTGGTCTGACCTACTTATAACTCGACTCATCACAAGCCAACCCGTGACTTACAAGTTGGCTCACAGGTTGATCCACCTAGTGTACTTTTTTATTTGTTTTATTTTTATTTTTTAAGTTTTCAAATGTTAATTTATGTGATTATACATTTATATCATTAACTAATTTTGTACATACTAGTAAATTATGATAATTAGTACCAATTTGATATTATTTGTCAATATTTAAAAAAAAACAACTTTAATATGATTTGATATTATAAGTTGTATAAGTTGGTTAGGGTTCATGTCTACTTTTTTTTCTTCATTTTTTTGTCTTATTATTAACATAGTTGTAATTCTAAAATATAATATTATAATATTTATTTTTTATAAAATTTAATAATTTTTTGTATTTTTAAGTTAAATGAGTCAACTTATTTAACTCACCAACTCATAATGAATTGGATCAAATTGGTTTTTTTTAAGTTCACTAAAAAATGAGTCAAGTTGGATTGATCCACCTGTTGTTCAACCTATGGTGGGTTGAATTGGGTTATCCATTTTAATAGCCGTAACTCCGAGTAAAAGTAAGGGTTTTATTGTATGAAAATGTGTGGGACACGATTTTAATTTTTAATCTTTCAAGAGGGTAATTTTGTTTGGTAAAAAAAATTGTATAGCTTCTCAAAAAGTTAAAAATATGAGAAGTTGGAAATTTGAGCTTCAATAGAAGCTCTAGTGGGAGCTTGACTTTTCTAAAGGCCCAAAAAATTAACATCCGAACACCACTTCTAAATAGTAGAGAGCTTATGTCAATAGATAAGCTCTTAAAAGCCCTTCTAGAATGCATCCAAAGAAGCCCATATTCTATTCTGTTTTTTCTTGTGGTACCACGTCTTCTTGTTTCCTTTTTGTTTTATGACAAAAAAATAAAATGTGTCCTTACATAGGGCTGAGTCATGAGTCGGTACCACGTCATATATAAAACCTATTTCAATGACACTTCACCTATATTTTGCTTCAAGCATTCAGAGGTGTAAGTGAGTACGAGTAATCTACAAATTCAAACTAACTAAAATCAATCCAATACGTTTGGATTGGTGTTTTTTAATATTCAAGGTTAGATTAGATTTGACTCGACCAAAATTTAATACTATACGAATTAGGTAACAATTTTTTTACTCGTGATCTGATCAGACCTGATCATATAGAATAAAAGAAATAATAATAAGTTAATATTTGGATGATAACTTATTTAGGATAATACTTTGTTACTTTTCCTCATTATCAAGTTGTGTATTAAGATTAATGGTATTGTAACAAGAGTTAATCAATAATACACTGCTAGTGTAAAGTTTTTTTATACTAGCAACCAATCAGATCTTTTAATAATACTAGTGTAAAATTTTTTTATACTAACAGTGTATAGATGATTAACTCTTGTAACAATACAACATATTTTTTTAAAATTTTATTTTGTATTAATGTTGATTGTTTGAGTTGATAATAATGTAACAAATAATGTAACAAATCAACAAATTTATTTTAGAATTTAATTTGTATCAATATTTGTTTTATAGGTTGATAACATTACATTTGCAAAAAGATATATCAAATAATTTACATCAATTATGAAATATTTAAATTTGTACAAAAAATAAATTAATTTAAATATAACAAATGGGTTGGGTTGGATTTAAAAATAAAATGCACAAATCCTACCCAACCTATTAATTCTTGTTTGAATTGAGTAACAAATTCATCTAAACTCAACCTAACTTGACATGCTTAGTGCTTACACCCCCTACATTCATATGCATCTTATTATACCCTTAGCATGGGGTGATTTCAAAACTATAAAATAAACAAGCAAGTCTTATAAATAAGGAGACATTTGTTCATGATTAAATGACTTCCTTCAAATACCAATTGGAATTGGTGCAAGTGATGAGGAACTCACATCGCTTAACCACTTTAATCTTGATTCTTGTAAATGCAAAAAACTCAAATTGGAAAGGAATGTCCACCTATTTGATGTCTATCAAACTTTAGAGAAGGATTGTCTCATATTCAATAAAAAATACTCCTTAATAATGAAAAAAAAATTACTTCCTTCAAATGCTCTGATTTATAAACAAGTTAATATCCATTTTTTTATTTTCTTCTTTTATAAGTATTTAATTTTTTTATCCAAACAGATTTTTTTAATTTTGAATAATGTCTTTGTAAGTTGAAGTAAGTTTGAAAATTATTATTATTATTATGACAAGATGGTGTATGAGAGTTGGGTTAAAAATATTTTAATTTGTTTATCCCAGAATGTGGATTGAGTTTTTAGCGGTAACCATTAAAATTTTTTTTTAAGTATTTTGAGAGAGTGGTGGAAATCTCTTCTTTAGTTTCATTCTTATTTTATTTTATTGGCAAGAACCTACTATCAAATTTGCTCGATACTTCTGATGTACAATATGGTGAATTTCTTGTTTTTCATTCTCTTGGATTGTGCTTTTTCGTTGTTTTTGCATTGTGTTTTGAAGCACATCAAATTTACTCCCACGACGTTTTAACGTGAAATAACAGCAAAGATCATTTGAAAAACATTTTTTCGTTAAAAGATGTTATAGGCCTTTTTACATTTAAAAATCAAATCTGAAAAAAAAAAATGAGTTTCATTTTAGACTAATCTAAATAAAGTTTGAATAAAAATTATTTTTACCAATGTGTATTATCTGAAATGATTTGATTTTAGATTTAGTAGATGGATCACTAGTACTTATCTTCATAGATAAAGATGCACAGTGGGATTACAATTGGTATCTTCGTCCGGGGTTCAAATTCAATAATTAAAACCAGTTTAATCAGACATTACTTTAGTTTAATCAGACATTACTTTGTCAATAAGAGAACAGCTTCTACTTTATTCAAGTGGATGTCATTATATTACATAGACACACTTGGCTATGTCTAATCCGAAATAAAGGTGAATTGCCACTTTGATAACATGTTTGAACTATAAGTGAAATAAATAAATAAAAATTTAAAAATTCTATTTGTTTGGAAAAGTTAAAAACTGAATAGAAATAACTGAATTATTTTAAAAACTTCTATATTAATTAAAATAAATAAACTTAACTAAAAATGTAAACAGTTTACCACATTTTTAAATACTTTATTGGTTACATATTTACTTTTTATAAAAAAAGATCAAATGCAATAAAGATTTCTCCCCACGTTAAGGGGAATTATTTTTTACACATTATTAAAAAAACTTATTTCTTATTTCTCTTTTCAAATAAACATTTGAAAACATCAAAAGAAAGATTGATATTTCCGTCCTATCTATATTCTCCCCTTTTTCTTCCTCTCTCTTTAACAAAGACAAATCCCCATTTTCTTCCTCCTTTATTTACACAAACAAACAAAAACAAATATCATTTGATTAGCATTCTCATTTTCAAAACGATTTTGAGAAGATACCAAAGAGGAAAAAGAAGTTTAAATATGTTTTTAATTCTTCAAATTTAGTATAAATTTATTTTTGGTCTCTCAAATTTAAAATTATTATTTGTAGTCCTTATAATTTCAAAAAATCTTATTTTAGTCTTTATATTCAAATTTTATTTTATGTTTCCATTAGTGAAAATATCACATTAAATTTAGTTGATATTGCATAACCGTCTTAATTTATCACTTTTATATGTTATTGATGACTTGGAAGACTAAAATAAGATTTTTAAAAATTATAGGACTAAAATAATAATTTTAAATTTGAGAGATCAAAAATAAAATTATTTTAAATTTGATAACTAAAAACATATTTAAGCCAAAAAAAAATTATTTGGTAATAAATTAAGCATTCCACTTTAGTTGGGTGGCGGACTCATCGGCAAACAAACATATATTTGATATTTTTTAAGAAAACTAACATGTTAGTATTATTTATTCGATTTAAATATAAAATAAAAACGTGACCTTCCACCTAATACAAGTTGGATCTTAGGAATAATACTAATAATAATAATAATAATAATTGCAGTACTTATCATTAAATAATAATTCCAATAAAAATAATTACTTCCTCCAAATCATAACTTTTTATATTTAACCTTTTTACATACTTAATGAAAATTATATTTAAACCAAAAATATTTAATGTAAGTATGTTAAATTAAAATACCATCATTTAATATCTTATGAACAGGAATAATAGTTAAATAAGAATATATAAAAAAAATTTGTTAATATTATTTGGAATATGTAAAATATCAAACAGTAAACATAAAAATTAATTAATTATGGTGTGGAGTACTTATAAATATAAGTAGTCCCAATTCCCACCCCCAATTTCTTTCTGAACCTGAATTTTAGTTTTGGCATCTATCCTCATACAAGGGAGTGTGAATATGGATAATAATGTATGAAAAACCGAAGAAGCATTGTCCAACACAAACGAAATCTGGTTGACGTTGCATAGGTGTCTGTTTAGTTAGTGGTTACCAATTGCCGGACGTAAAACGAATCTTCACTTTATCTTTTAGGGTGTGTTTCACATAGGAAAAAAAAGAAATAAGTGTGAAATAGAGGGGAGAAAAATAAAGAGAAAGGAAAAGAGATATGTGAGTAAAAATAAATAAGAAATAAAGTAAAAAATTTGATTATTTGATTGAAGAAAAATAAATGAAATATAATATTACATATATTTAATAAGATAGAAAAAAGAAAAAATAAAAAGTTACGAGTTCCACACTTCGCTGTCACATTTCTTTTGTACCAAAAGAATGGTGATTTTTATTTCTTAGCTATTTCATTGCTCACTAGTCACTCCCCTATTTCACTGTTATTTCAACGATACCAAACGAAGCGTTAAAGTTAAACATAATACCATAGTCATAACTCAAAAGGATGCTCAAGTTTCCATTGCAAAGGCCTTCTGATCACAAGCTGGCAAAAGATCCGTAAGATAACATCCATATTATAGACCAAAATGATCTTACTTACAAACTATAGCCACTCGAGATTTATTTAAATTAAAGCAACCCAAAACATCCATTCTTCACGAAACAAGCAAGGCTGACAAAGATCAACTCATTCTTGTGTTGAAAGCACACAACGTAGACAACCCCCTTCATGCAAAAGATCGAAAGCCTTGTTGATCTCAGAAAGTGTCAAAGTGTGGGTAATGTACTCATCAACCTTGATTTCCTGCAAATAAAGGACACAATGTAGACTCAAATATCCATTCTTTCCAACAATGCTGAATTAATGCACAGAACACTCTTGAAAAACAATTACCTTCTTCAAGTACTTGTCTACAAGCCAAGGCACCTGTGACCTGCTCTTGAAGCCACCAAAAGCTGTTCCTTTCCAGACACGTCCACTTACCAACTGGAAAGGACGAGTTGATATTTCCTGCCCCGATGCTGCAACACCCACAATAACTGATGTCCCCCAGCCCTGCAAATTATCAAAAGAATATTTCACGTGTGCTACCATCATGGTGTGATATTTGAAAATTGAGTTAATGTGGCAGAAGCAGCATTCACCTTGTGGCAGCATTCCAAAGCAGCTCTCATCACGGAAACATTTCCGATGCACTCAAAGCTATAGTCAACTCCACCATCTGTGCCATCAATTATGACCTGCTGAATTGGTTTATCATGTTCATTTGGATTTATAAACTCAGTGACTCCAAAGTTTTTTGCTGCAAGGTAAAATAGCAAAAGAGGACGAGTCAATAAAAGAAAAAGTAATTATTATTGGAAAGAATCTCTTCTGTAGTGCTAGTGCACTAGCACTAAAAAACCAAAACTGAGAAAACCACAAATAGAAAATTGCTCATAGCAAGACAATATGTGTTAGGAACCAAGAATTCTAAAGAGAAAAAAGAAGAAAGATTTTATTTCTTGATTACAAAAGAACACAAAATAGGAGAGGCAACTTTTTCCAAGGGTTACCCTTCACAAAGGATTTCTCCTTTCACAAAGAGCTAATGCTCAATTTACAAATGAACGACTATCCTCCCCTCTACCAAGTTATTTTCTATTTATAGATATGATGCACATGGCCCATGATATCCTTCTAACCAATAACTACTCTAATTCCCTTTACTCTATTTATCCCATCAGTATGCTTGTACCTATATAGGTCATAGCAGTTATGGCACAGGAAAAACAATAGAGGAAGAAATGAAATAAATGTATACCAAAAGTACAAACATATTAAGATCTTATTAAAGCAATGTTATTCTTCGGCCAGTATAATTCTTTAAAAGGGACATCTTCCTTTTATCAAACAGCTATGTCAAAAAATTTATCAGACTGTCAAAAGCCAGATGATAATCAATACATGAAGAAACATTAATTAAACACAACTAAAAAAATGAGAAACGTGGCAACAAATCACTTCACAATGTTAAAGACATACTGTCAAGGTTAGGTCAACTAAATTTGTGATGTACCTATATCAAACTTCTTGCTGTCAATATCTATGCCAATAATCCGGGATGCACCAGCAGCTTTTGCACCCTCTGCAACCTGTCAAGTATAAATTACAAATCATAATAGCAGCCCAAAAACAGGCAAAAATATTAACACCTACAAACAATTTAACTTCAGAAACTTACAGCAAGCCCAACAGTTCCAAGGCCAAAAACAGCGACAATTGACCCTGACTCCACTTTTGCAGTGTTCCAGACAGCTCCAAGGCCTAAAAAATGGGGGGAAAATAGATATCACAACTTCATAATAATAAGTGAACTTGGTATTGGAAGCACACAAGACAAAACGTTTTTTAGCATTAAGAAAGAAAGAAGGGGGGGAAAAGTTCTGTAAACTAACATTTTTTATCTTTCACAAAGCAAGTTAATTGAAACTCTCAAAAAAAAAAAAATGCAGCATCACCGATAGACTTGTTATCAAACTTAAAAGGTTTAATTATTGTTTTGATACCTATAGTTTCATAAACTTTACATTTTAGTCCTTATAGTTAGAAAAGCTCCTTTATAATCTCTATGCATATCATTTTTGTTTCCTTTTAGTCTTAGTTGTCTATTGACTATTGTTATAGGAATTAAAAGGTAAATTTATGAAACTATAAAGACTAAAAATGGAAAAAAAAAAAAAAAAGAGTATGTAAAGATGCTAAAATGGAATGTTTTAATGTTTTATAGGGATTAAGAAGTCGAGTTTATGAAACTATAGGGATCAAAAAGGCATTTAAATCAATTTAAAATAATGATATGCAATAACCATGAGCTATCAGTACATCAAACTCCAAATTCAAACAAATGAGGTTAGAGTTATTTGGATAAACTTATTTATACGCACTTCTATGAGAAGAAAATAAGAAGACAAAAATGAAACAAGTTTCTTTATATGTAAGTTAAAAAAAATAGAGAAGCCAATACTAAGTGTTTCTACAAATAACTTTTTTATAAACTAATTTCAGCTTTTAGAGAAACTTATTTTATTTTTTATTTTTATTTTCTCCTATTGTAAGTAGGTGTAGAAAAGTTTATCTAAACATAATAGAAAACACGGATGATGATGTAATTTGTAAAACACAAGAGTCTAATACGGTATATGTAACATCATTGCCCAAACTCCGAACACATTTCATGAATTCATTAGACAGCATGCTCAGAAAGGATAAGACACATTCCATACAACTTGAAAAATCTTGACAGCATTTTCGAAAAGGAGAATGCTCACCAGTTGAAACACCACATCCAAGAAGACAAACCTTCTCCAAAGGAGCTCTAGGGTCAATCTTAGCTACACTAACATCATGAACAACAGTGTATTCACTGAAAGTGGAGGTCCCCATGAAATGATATATGGGCTTTCCATTAATTGAGAACCGACTCTTGCGATCATTGAGCATGACCCCAACTCCAGTGGCAGCCCGAACCTTGGCACAGAGGTTCGTCTTCCCTGACTTGCAAGTTTTGCACTCCCCACACTCAGCCTGGTAACAAGGAATGACATGATCCCCAGGCTTAACCTCAGTAACACCTTCTCCAACACTCTCCACAATCCTGCACCAAAAATGCATAAACCCTGAAACCCCTATTTATCTTAAGAAGCACCAACCCTTCCATTTGTTTCACCTATCCGCATCCGATTCTTCACCAATTCATATCAGTGATGTATCCAAGCATTTAAAAAAATTATGAAAATCTTTCCCGATATCATACTCTTGGATACTCGTACCATTGAAGTATCCAAACCTTAAAAAAAATTATGAAAAGACATTACAGGTACATGAGACATATAAATATGTACAATATAAAAACATGGAAACATTACCCTTGATGAACCAAAAATTGGAAATTGCTCTCTTTATAGATGGTATTACTATTAATCTTACTCGTAAATAATAGGAAGTAATTTATGATGGCATAGTTTAAAATTATTTTTGCTTTTACTAATGTACAATAAATATGTTCTTAATTTGGATTTTGATCAAAACTACATTTATACATTTATTATATTTTCTGAATAGTTATATATATATTTTAATTTTTTAAAATACAAATTCGCGTATCATATACGTGTATCATAGCCCCTTCCCCATCGACAACAATCAAGCATGCTAAAATCACATAACGTTGCATCTGAAAAAATATTGATGTACTACCCTGCAGCTTCATGGCCGAGAATACAGGGGAAGAGACCTTCGGGATCCTGCAAAGTGCAAAGCAAGAAGGATTGTTACATTGCGCGTTCAAAAGAAGGAAAGGCGAATGAATCGATTAAGAAAAGAGAGGAACCTTGCCGCCCCAGGTGTAAGCATCGGTGTGACAGAGAGCGGTGTAGAGGATTTGGACTCGGACCTCGCCGGCCTGAGGCGGAGCCACCTGAACGTCTTCGATGGTTAAGGGCTTGTTGGGTTCCCAGGCCACCGCAGCTTCATGAAAAGGTTAGGGTTTGTTTGTTTAATGGAATTCGGATCTGCGATAAGAATTAAGAACATGCAGAAGAAAGAGAGTAACAGTACCTTTGCAGGTAATGACTTGACCTTGAGTCGCCATTGAAATCAGATGAGAGTTGAGACCGCTCCACTCAACACCACAGCTATCACTCACCTATCCCCACTCCTCTATCTTATATACTTCCAATAATCTTACCGTATTAGACTAAGACATTACTAAAAATAATCTGCTTAATTATTAAATAACTCTTGTAATTATTTTTGTTGTTCATGCTTTTTTATGTTTACTATTTAATTTAAATAAAAATGCATTTTTAATTTTGAAATTTTATTTTTTAATGATTGATCTTTATCGCACAAATTTGAGTTGCTTTAATCTTTTAAAATAATAATTAATTTCAATTTTAAGATATTATTTTAAATTATATTTTAATTAATTTAAGATTTAAATTTTATTTTATTAAATTTATTTATATAAAAATTATTAAAAATAATTAGAGTTCAAATCAAAGTGTCACAAAATAACTAAAAAAATTTAAGTAATTTAATTTCATGTTAACTTTCAGTTATTTATAAAATATATTTTTTACATAATTTTTCTTATATTCATATTCTTTTTTTAATTCAAATGTCAAATGAATTTCATGATTTTTATATAGGTAGATCTAATAGTATAAGTTTCACATTTTTAAAAATTATCAATATTTTAAAATCATTAAATCAATCTAAATATAAAAGATAATTGATCAAAATGAATATTTTAATAAAAATGACTAAAATAAATTAAAAATAATATAAAGTGTCAAAAGTATAATTTAATTAATAAAATAAAATATTATTATTTTATTTAAATATATTAAATAGAATAAAATTAAATTTTCATTTCACTATTCATAAATGAATGAATTGTGATTTGTTATTTTAAGGTATAAATAATGTTTCATGTATAATAAAAATTGTATGATGTTTTTTTATCATATAAATTATCTAAAGAATTCCATTATTTAGACAATTATTATCATGTTTAAATATATTTTAATTTATGTAAAATGAATATTTTTATTTTATTTTGATATTATACTTTTTTCTTTTCCTTTTATCCCCTGAAATTTGAAATTATTGACTTTAATCTTTATTATCATGTAATTACTAGTATTTTAACTTGTGTATTATACATGTTAAATATTTATTATATATAATTAAAATTTAAAATAAATATTATATTTAAATATTTACATTATATTTAAATTATAAATAATTTTTAAACATGTAATTATATTTTATATTTAAGATTAATAATTTATTTTATGTTACAAGATCATATTTAATTGTGTTATAATTTATTTTAAAATATTAAAATTTAATTCATAAACAAATATGATAAATAAATAAAATTAATTAAGTAATAAAAAATTATCAATTTTAAGTTTATCTATAACCGATAATGATATCATATCAACAGATAATATTTTTAATTTTTTTTATATATTATATGTTATATATTTAGATTAAAATAGTTGTTAAAATTTGAATAATAATTTTAAAATTTAAAAGAATATAAATAAATAAAATAATTTTACAAAAAGTAAAATTTATTCATTTTATAAAAATTAAAAACAATACTTACAAAATTAAAAGATATATATATTTTACTAAAAGTAAAACTAAAATCCACTTATTTTAGATAAATTAAAAATATATTTAATTTTTTTAAAATTATTTATATTAAAAAATTGTGAAATGAGATTGATTTGAGAGGTAGAAAAATAAGAAAAAAGCAAAACGATGCGTTTGAAAGCGGAAGATATAAAAGGCGGGAGCAGGTTACTTGCTTGGTGTTGGGATACGAATGGCGGTGCTGTTGCTTAGGGTTGTACATGCACCGCTCTGAACGCTCTCTCCGCTCAACGATTCAACACTATATCCAAAGAGATTCTGCTCCTTTCGTTTTCTTCTCACCGTTAGTTCTCTCTCACTTTTCTCCTAATTCAATTCACGCTTTGCTTTCCATTGCTCTAATCATATTCGTGTCACATTGCTTTGCTTTTATTTATTTCATTATTTTTTTCAAATGACTATTGCCGATGTGACTGTTTTCGAGTGCGCTTCAACTTTCATTATTGTATTTCAATGTAGTTTATTGGGAAAAATAGAGGTTGCAGCCTGAGTTATTGAGTGAATGCCAAGTTTGCATTGAATGTTTTTGTGTTAATGTAAGGTGGATGCTTTGATCAACTTTTGTTGTATGGATTAGATGGGTGATTATTCCTTGTGCTGTGTAAGCAGGGTAGATTTGGATTGAAGGCTGAAGTGAAATAGAGTTATGGCGGATTTGGAAAATTTACTTTTGGAGGCAGCAGGGAGAACCCGACACTCTCATCCGCCTTCAAGAGGACATGATCATTGTCGGAGTGACTCTGGAGGGGATGATTCAGATGACGAGCATAATTATTCGGGCCGAAAGCCCCCTGGCTCGCAAGTTCCCCTAAAGAAGAGATTTGATTCGGAAAGAGATGATGGGGAGGGAAGTCAGGAAGGAGGGGATGATGATATTGGTGATAGCAGTGATGAATCTGATATTGGTGATGATCTTTATAAGAATGAAGATGACAGGCGTAAGCTTTCTGAGATGACTGAACTTCAGAGGGAGATGATATTGTCAAACAGGGCTACCAGGAAAAATGATAAAGATTTATTGGGGAAGTTAGCCTCAAAGCGGGAGAAGGGAAATACAACTTTAGTCGGGAAACTGACTACACCTCACCAGTCATCTCGTGTGCGTTCATCAGCCAGGTCAACAGCCAAGGATGGTGCTTTGAATGAATTGCGTGCGAAAAGATTAAAGCAGCAAGATTCAGAAACAAACCGCAGGATAAGTGAGGCATCTAGAAGTTCAGGGGCTAGGCATGTTTCACCGAAGCGCAAACCTTTCCCTTCAACAATTCCTGGTAGCTCAAGTGATAGTGAAAGTAGGTCCGACAGTGATGATGATGGGTCAAGTGGAGATGACAGAATTATTGACAGTGATGATGACAGGATAATGTTAGGATCTGAAGGGCTTTCATTTGAGGATATAAAAGAAATCACCATTCGCAGATCAAAACTTGCAAAATGGTTTATGGAGCCCTTTTTTGAGGAGTTAATTGTTGGTTGTTTTGTGAGAGTTGGCATTGGTAGATCAAAGTCAGGGCCTATCTACAGGCTCTGCATGGTTAAAAATGTTGATGCCTCAGATCGTGATCGACAGTATAAATTAGAAAATAAAACCACGCACAAGTACTTAAATCTTGTCTGGGGAAATGAAACTTCTGCTGCAAGGTGGCAAATGGCTATGATTAGCGACTCTCCTCCACTCGAGGAGGAGTTCAAACAGTGGCTGAAGGAAGTAGAGCGAAGAGGTGGCAGGATGCCAACAAAGGAAGAAGTGGTAGATAAAAAAGAAGCTATACAAAAGATCAAATTATTTGTTTACTCAGCAGCTACTGTGAAGCAGATGTTACAAGAAAAAAAATCTACCAAATCAAGGCCACTAAATATTGCAGCTGAAAAGGATCGGTTAAGGACAGAATTGGATATAGCACTTAGTAAGCATAAAGAAGCCGAAGCAAATAGGATCACGAAAAGATTGCAAGAATTAGAGGAATCTCGGAAAACTAGGGAGAAGGATGCCAGGGCTTTGAAGCTTGCTGAGATGAACAGAAAGAACAGGTTTGAGAACTTCAAAAATGCTTCTGAATTGAAGCCAAATATTGGTTTGAAAGCAGGAGAGGTAGGTCATGATCCCTTTTCAAGGAGATGGACTAGATCAAGGAACTATTATGCTGCAGAATCAGCTGAAGAGGCTGCAGCTGAAAAAAATAGTGCTGACGAGGCTGTGGCTGATACAGGCATGGGAGCAGCTGAAACAGCGGAAGTTGGTATGGTGGCTACTGCTGTGGCTTTGGAAGCTGCTGCAGGTGCTGGAAAGTTGGTAGACACAAGTGCTCCGGTAGATCAAGGGACAGAGTCAAATATGCTGCATAATTTTGAGCTGCCAATATCATTAGCTATTCTCCAAAACTTTGGTGGAGCCCAAGGAGTTCGGGCAGGATTTATGGCACAAAAACAAAGAATAGAAACAACCATTGGATTCCAAGTCCTGGAAAATGATGGAGCGAGGCATGCGCTGACATTAACAGTTAGTGATTACAAGAGAAGAAGAGGGCTTCTTTGAAATCCGTTCAACTAACACCTTTCACCAGGTCTACTTTTTTAAAAGGTGAATTGTGCTTTTGAATTCTCTATAGTACTGTCGTGCCCGTTAATAACTAAATATCTAGCAATTTTTCAGGTGATCATCGAGTTTTCATTTCCTTTTACCTTCCCCAAAATTTAAAAGGAAAATGTTAAACCCAAGTGTTAATATGTTTATAAGATTCAATATTGGTTTTTACTTTTCACTGGATGCTTGGAAGAGAACTGGATAGTTGCACCGAAAGTCGGTTCCCGTGACAAAATATTATTAAAAGAAATATTTTGATTGTTTAGGTATACTCTGTACTCTGTTAAATGCACTTGACATGCTCCGGTTTAAGGATGTTATCAAAAACGTTATCAATGAGGTTCTCATTGGTTTATATATAGACATATATATATATATATATATATATATATAATTACCTTAACTTGTCTCTTTACTAGACTGTGATCAACATTTAAGTTTTACTACACGTCCCATAATATTTTAAAATGTGATTTTTTAGTTCAAATTGCATGAAATTCACTGCATAATTGTATTAATTGACTAGGAAATCAATGGGTAGTGGACTTAATGTTTTTCTAGCGTACCAGGAAGAACTGAAAAGCCCCCAAACTAAATAGGAATCCTACGGGAAAATAAAAAAGAAGAAATACCGATAATAAGGTCTTGTTATCTAAATATGTAGACGCTAATCTTCTCGAAGCATATGGCTAGTCCTTGTTTCACAAATGCTCGATTATTTTTTTCTCGTAGTAATAAACTTCAAAATCTATAATTAAAACTAATTTGATGATAAATTCAAATTATGTTAATGATTTAAAATCAATTTTATCAAAATTATATCTAACTCAAAACAAAAAGCATTATTTGTACTTCCAAGTTCTTGCTGCACGTCAAGTGACTATGTGAATTTGTGGACATGGAAGTAGGGATGTGAGCAATGTCAATAGGTACATTTGAGATTTGGAAATTATGCCTACTATGTTCAGTTAGGACGGGCCATGTTTGGTGGGCATATATTGGCCTCAAATTCGTAAGTCAAGACTTTAGTTTTTTGAGTTTTTTTTTATTCATAGAAATTACAATAATGATAATAAAGTTTAAATTTAAAATTCTGAATATATTATTTTAATTCTAATTCTAATAATTTTTTTAATTTAATTATGAGTTTTATCTAAATTTGTAAAACTCGTTCTGGGTTATCTTGAAGCATGTGTATGTTGAACCAAGGACTTTTGCACTTTTTTTTTACATGAAATCTAATGTAAATGTATGTAATCAACATGTGTCATTGGATTGAAATTTTATAAGATTATTTTAGCATAAAAAAGTTTAATGAATTTTTTAAAAAATATGTAAGAATATAATAATTTTTAACACTTTTTTTAAAGAACTTTTATAATCAAGATTTTATAATATAAATTTAATGAATTTATATCATAAGAATTTATAAGATTTGAATGAATTTTATAATATTTCAAAGGATAATGTGAATTTTTTTAAAAAAAATATATATAATTAATAAAATAGCAAAAATGATAAAGTTTGAATAAAAAAAGTAAAATTAATATAAAATTTTCAAATTTTCAATAAAAAATTAATTATAAGTTCATGTCTTTTTAATATAGTCATTCATTCATTGATTCTTTCTTGTTTTTGTTATTGAATTTGAATATGTATAAATTTATTATATTTATTAATCGGTATAGTTGTCAAATTTGACTCAACCTAAAGGGTTAGTTTGTTGGCCCACTAGGTTAGACTTTTTATTTTTAGGCTTGAAAAACATCGGGCTAATTTGAGAGAGATAAAAAGAAGATGAGATAGAGAGGAAAGGGACAGAGAAAGGAGGGCAAGAACATTAAGGTGAAAGAAAAAAGAAAAAAAGGAGAAATATAAGAAGAAAAAACATGAAAAACTTAAAGGTTTGGGTGAAATTGTTGGATAAGTGAATTATATATAAATTTTACTAAAAAAAGGTCTCACAAAATTTATCATTTAAAATAATCTATCGAAAACTCTGTATTTTTGAATACTCACAAAAAAATTTTAAATGAAAAATATTTTAATTGAATATCATCAAATTTTGATTTTCTCATAAAAAAAATCTCAATTGTCTTTAATTAAATATTACAAAACTTTTTAATATTAAAAAAAGTATTAATTGAATACTACACAATTTTTTTACAATAATTTAAAAAAAAAATTGAAATCTTAACCTACATTCTTAAGTATCTATTTGTTCAACAATATTTGTTTCATCACAAATTTGAGGGTCTTGTTGATTAATTAAAAATTATAGTACTAGACATGATTAATATATTTGTTTCATATTTGACTTACAATCGGATTATGGGGCAAATAAATCAAATTAAAAGGAATAGAATAAAGCTTCTACTTTTTATTCAATGAATTATCAGATAACTTTTTGTCCTAAATACAAAATGCTCAAGAGACAAAAATATTCACTACTGTCATCTTTATTGTTGCACCACCATACTTACCACCATTGTTGTTGACTGTTACCGTCATTGTTGTTGACCACCACCATGTCCCATATCACTCCAAATGACTACTATAGCCATCATCACCTATCATATTGCCCTCTATGTACCACCACCATTGTGTTCAATTCTACCACAGTTATTGTTGTTACCACTGCTAATGTCACTACCATTGCTCCATGAAAATAACTGATAAAAATTCACGAAGATAATTGATATTAAAAATGATATTATGATAAACTTAGCATTAGTTTGTGTAACATTATACCTTGAGTTATTTTCTTGTGGTTAGCTTAAGTTGAGAGATTGTCTTGAAAGAGAGAGAGAGTTGAAGACCTCCAGTTGATTGAATCTCTTCCTCTTTCTCTTAGGTTCTCAAGAGTCTTAGAGTGGTGTTATCGGGTGTTGATCACCGCTTCAAGTGTCTTGGAGCTCTAAATCATTGGTGATGGTGCGAAGATCCCAAATTCGTTTCCTTCCTTCTTCCTCTTGTCCTCTCTTGATAAGCTCGAAGTCAAGGTAAGAGAAATTAGGATTGATTATGAATGAGATGATTGAATTTCCTGTTGTTGGTTCTGATTATGTATGAGTGTATGTTGTAAATTTTGAAATTTTCGTGATGAAGGGGTGGGTTTTGAGTCTTCTTAAGGTGGCTGAGATGAATTTCATGTTTTGATTGAATCTGTGGTTGCATGTCATGTTTCTGTGGCTGAGTGTATGTTTTGATTTTGTGTGTGTGTGTGTGTGTGTGTGTGTGTGTGTGTGCGTGTGTGTGTGTGTGTGTGTGTGTGTGCGTGTGTGTGTGTGTGTGTGTGTGTGTGCGTGTGTGTGTGTGTGTGTGTGTGTGTGCGTGTGTGTGTGTGTGTGTGTGTGTGTGCGTGTGTGTGTGTGTGTGTGTGTGTGTGCGTGTGTGTGTGTGTGTGTGTGTGTGTGCGTGTGTGTGTGTGTGTGTGTGTGTGTGCGTGTGTGTGTGTGTGTGTGTGTGTGTGCGTGTGTGTGTGTGTGTGTGTGTGTGTGCGTGTGTGTGTGTGTGTGTGTGTGTGTGCGTGTGTGTGTGTGTGTGTGTGTGTGTGCGTGTGTGTGTGTGTGTGTGTGTGTGTGCGTGTGTGTGTGTGTGTGTGTGTGTGTGCGTGTGTGTGTGTGTGTGTGTGTGTGTGCGTGTGTGTGTGTGTGTGTGTGTGTGTGCGTGTGTGTGTGTGTGTGTGTGTGTGTGCGTGTGTGTGTGTGTGTGTGTGTGTGTGCGTGTGTGTGTGTGTGTGTGTGTGTGTGCGTGTGTGTGTGTGTGTGTGTGTGTGTGCGTGTGTGTGTGTGTGTGTGTGTGTGTGCGTGTGTGTGTGTGTGTGTGTGTGTGTGCGTGTGTGTGTGTGTGTGTGTGTGTGTGCGTGTGTGTGTGTGTGTGTGTGTGTGTGCGTGTGTGTGTGTGTGTGTGTGTGTGTGCGTGTGTGTGTGTGTGTGTGTGTGTGTGCGTGTGTGTGTGTGTGTGTGTGTGTGTGCGTGTGTGTGTGTGTGTGTGTGTGTGTGCGTGTGTGTGTGTGTGTGTGTGTGTGTGTGTGTGTGAATGATTAAGTTGCATGCATGAATTGAGGCATGGGCTAGGTGGATTTTTTGATTATTGAAGTGTTTTGCTAGGTTCATATACTTGAGCTTCAATTATACAAGTTTATGGGCTTGCTCACTCAGAATGTCCATGAGGGTAGGCATGGCAACAGGGCAGGGCGGGGTCGGATTTTACGTTATATAAAAATTAAATGTAGAATGATGATAATAAGCATTGGTGTGCTATGTTTGTGTAGTTAAAATGGTGATAAGCATCGATATACTATGTATGATTGATATATTATAAATTGCATGATTGGAGTCTTGATAAGCCTTGCTATGCAATTATTGAATGAATTATTGAACATTAATATGTTATATTTGGATGAGTTGTTAAGTATTGGCATGTTATATTTGAGTGGTATGATTTAATTTTTATATGCATCGACCTGAGGTAATGTATATAAAATATGTATATTGATGTGTTAATGCTAAGAATGTTATGAGCATTAAAATATGTTAATTGACTTAGTATTAAAGGAGATGATGTTCTTTAAGAAGTCGAAAATCTCATATCGAGTAGATGGGAAACTCTTAGAGTGAACTTTTTTGAATCCCTTCTAGATCCTTAGTTAATGTTGAGTAAAATATGGAATCAAGGGTTATCACCCTTAATTGATTACTAAAAAGATTGTGTGGTTCTTTGCAGATAGTTAGTGGGTTAACTCTATAAGTGACTTTGTAATACATACCAAGTTCTTGATACACCTATACCCAGTTATACTAGTCCTGATGATGGAATCAGACTTATCTAATGTAAGTGGAGACACCCGAAAAATCAAAGGAGGGATTGATATTCCATTTTAGATGTGGACCTAGTAGTCACGTATGGTGTGAAAGTGATTAATGATTCAGTAAGGTCAAGTCACTTAGACTACTCATGTGTATTAAGAGAGCTTCATTGGTGAATGTGTGATGACACGTTAGTTAAGGTGTATGCATATGATGTGTTATTGATTGTGTGATCATATGTATTGGATTATTAACTTATTGTGTGAAATGACTTGGTGTGAGTTCGACTACTTGGTGCATAACTTTCAAACATGTTGATGTTTAATTGATGGTTGTATGAGATGAATTATGAACGCCAATTTGATGGTTTACTTATTGATGAGTAGTATAGATTCAGTTTTCTATACTTGTATATTTTTTAAAAAATTGGCTTACCCATTGACTATGATGATCACACTTTTTGCAGGAGCAGGACAGGATTAACTGATACAGGCTTTTAGGAGATGTTGCAGGGCCATGTTAGCAATGTAGTCAAGGACTACTTTTTTGTTGGTTTGTATATAAATGTTGCTTGATCGACAAATTAGGTTTTCTACCATGTTTTACTAGATGACTGTACATGTATTGTATATATTTATAAAGTTATTTTTAATTACACTTGTATTTATATACATGCTATAATGTGCATATCCAAGTATTTTGAGTATAAAAATATTGAGTATGTTAGTAGTTTAGTTGCTAGTTAGTGAATCCATAAAGTGTAGCGGTCATAATGGATGTTGTTGTTCATTATTCACTAAATTTATACCTATATATAAAAGTGATTCCCTATTTTTGTGGCACAAATTTTAGATTGTTTTACCCTTAAATTTTTAAATAATAAATATAATATTAAAAATTAACAATTGTTACAAACCTAATATTACTGAAACTGAAACTTTAAGATTTGATAACTAGATACAATCTTAACTAATTCAACAAATGTTAGTAATTTTTAAATATCTTTAAATAAATATAGCAATACATAGTATCTCAACTCTATTAAAGATGTATGAAGTAAGTTGTTTAATAACTTAAGTATTTGACTTGTATTGTTATCCATGTATTGTATCCTATAGCTTAATATTATCAAAGTTTTGATCCTTCAAGGACTAATTAATATTTTGATAAGATAAATTTTAGAAGGCTACCCTTTATGAAAAATAAGGAGTACTAGTATTTTAGACCATGTAATAGTAATATACATGCATGTTTATTATATATAATTAATTAATATTTATAATAAATTATATATAATATTATATTTGAATATATGAATTTTATTTAAAATAAATATACATAAATCTTTTCAAACATATAAATTATATTTAGATTTTTGATAAATAATTTGTATTATAAAAAAATTATTTATTGATAATCTATTGTAAAATATTAATAGTTAATAAATAAATATATATGATAAATAAAAATTAAATTATATAAAAAATTACACAAATTCCTACAAACTGTCATATTAAAGAAAAAAAAATCTCTAAAAATATTCTCGTAATATAGAGGTTTGTCTTTAATATATAGAGTTGATTTTTTTTTTAAAAACAATTATAGTATTAAAACAAAATTAAGTAAAATATGGAATTGATATTCAATGGTACTAAAGATATTTTTTTGACAGTAACCACTCTTTAAGTTATTAAAAATACAAAAAATAATTTAAATTAAATAATACTATTCTTTAAAATAACAAAATAGTATAAATACCGAGATTTAAATTAGTAATTGAAGTTTACTTTAGTTTAGTATTTTCCGGAGGTATGAACCATTTTATAATATGTTGGTATTAGTTACACAAATATTTGTTAATTATTCTAGTGAAGATAAACAAATCGTACGCGCAACGCAACCTTGGAATATTTACATTCCAAATTTTATTAGTTTTTCTTTTTAATAACAGATAAATAACAGCAAAAACAAAGGAAAAAAAAAATTACAACAAGACTGATTGACAGACTCCTCAAGACAGCAAAAAAGAATTTTTTATATTGACTTTGAATAATCAAATTTTAAAAAACAGTGTTATTTACATGTAAGATTGCCCCACGCATTTTACATCAAAACTATTAAATTTCTGTAATAAATTAATTAGCATATTTAATTTCTTACTGTAAAGGTTATGTTGACCATTTTTATAGGAGATGACATTTTTTTTATTCATAAAAGTGTTTAAGTAAATTATAATTTTACTATCAAGAATTATAATTTTTTTAAGAAGTATAATATTACAAGTAAATAAGTAGATTGAAAAGTAAGAACAATATTAAAATTATTAAATTACTGTTTATAATATATTAAAAGTCATTTTTTTAAAAAAATACATACGTAATTACTTATTATATAAGATAATAAATATATTGTATAATTAAATTATAAATGTAAAAATATTTTAGTTATCTTAATTGAAAATATTATTCGTTATTTTAATTAACTTAAATGATATTATTTGTTAGCTATTCTAAAACTAAATTAACAGAGTTAGTAATAAGACTAAAAAAGAATGCCAAAACATATGTCAAAGATCTAAAATTGATAATTTTTTTACAAATATTAAAATAAGACAGGATGATATTTGCATGTAATTGAAACATATTTAAATCATTTATGAATTAAAACAAAATAATTAGGGTGTATATAGAAAACAAATTAAAATATTTTAAATTATAAAACTAAAAAATAGAGTTCATTCTAATGGACTAAATAAATATTTAATCCTTATTTTTTATTTTGTTAAGTAATATTTTCATTCAGCTATTTGAACCTTATTATTTAGTATAGTATTTAAACCCTTTTTTTATTTAGTTAAGTAATTTTTTTATTTAGCTATTTAAAGCTTTTTTTTACTTAAGTATTTAAACCATGTTTATTTATTTAATAAATTAATTTTTATTTAGCTATTTAAATCTTATTATTTTGTATTTAAACCTTCTTTTTTTTACTCAAGTATTTAAGCCTTGTTAAAATAACGTAATAAATTAATATTTAAACCTTTTTTCAAGTAATATTTTTATTTAGCTATTTAAACCTTATTATTTAGTATTGAAACCTTCTTTCTTTAAAACATTGTTTGAATAACGTATTAAATTAATATTTAAAGCTTATTTTTCTTATTTATTTAAGTATTATTTTTATATAGCTATTTAAACCTTATTATTTTGTATTGAAACCTTCTTTTTGTTTACTCTAGTATTTAAATATTGTCTGAATAACGTAATAAATTAATATTTAAATTTATTTTTTATTTGTTTAAGCGATTTTTTATTTAGCTATTTAAACCTTCTTTTTTTTATACTCAAATATTTAAACCTTGTTTGAATAACGTAATAAGTTAATATTTAAAATTTATTTTTTATTTACTTAGGTAATATTTTTATTTAGCTATTTAAACTTTCTTTTTTTAATCAAGTATTTAAACCTTGTTTGAATAACATAATAATTTATTATTTAAATATTATTTATTTAATTATTATTTGTATTTAGCTATTTAAAACTTATTATTTTTACTCAAGTATTTAAACATTGTTTGAATAACGTAATAAAATAATATTTAAAGCTTATTATTTTATTTATTTAATTATTTTTTATTTATCTACTTAAACCATTTTTTATTTAGTATTTAAACCTTCTTCTTTTTTTAACTCAAGTATTTAAACATTGTTTGAATAACCTAATAAATTAATATTCAAAGCTTATTTTTTTAATCAAGTATTGAAACCTTGTTTGAATAGCATAAAAGAAATCCATGATAAAACATATTTTAAGCGTTAATTAGTTAATTAAAAATCCTGTGTTGAATAAAATTAAAAACCCCATTAAAAAAAATAAAAGAAAAGTACTTTATTGATTGATACCAGTAGGGCAGTAGCAGTATTCTAGAGAGAAATATCCGACGAGGTGAAGCCGTAATAATGACTATGTTGAAAAAGGATGCTGACGTGGCATGATGTGATAGGCCCACCCATATCCGAATTATTTTCTCTGAAATGTCTTATATAAATATAAAGTCTTCTTATCCATCCTCTTATGCATTTTCTCTCCCAAAACACACTTGCATGTACCCAAAATTCCAATAATTTTATTTTGTTTCACCACACTTGTCAACTTCAACTCCATCCATGGCTAACTCAAACCTTAGAATCACCATTGAAAGAAACCCTTCTCAGTCACGCCTAGCTGAGTTGAACATCAAGTGCTGGCCCAAGTAAATCTTTTTTTATTTATTATTATTTATTTTTTATCATGACTAGAATTGAAGTTTTATCCGGATAGGTTTTAATTCTAATTAATGTGTAGGTTAGTTTGTTTATTTTCTTATGAAAAATGTGAATGGTGATGATGCAGGTGGGGTTGTTCTCCAGGGAAGTACCAATTGAAGTTTGATGCAGAAGAGACATGCTACTTGTTGAAAGGGAAGGTGAAGGCATACCCAAAAGGTTCATCAGAGTTTGTGGAGTTTGGAGCTGGAGATCTTGTGACAATTCCTAGAGGAATGAGTTGCACTTGGGATGTGTCTGTTGCAGTTGATAAGTACTACAAGTTTGAATCAAATTCTTCTTCATCATCATCATCGTGATGATAATAAGTTAGTGTTAATTATGGATGGAACTCTAGCATTCTCTGATTTTGATTATGATTTAGGTTAATTTGTTTTTGATAATGTTGTTGTTTGGTTTTGGTGGGAATTGAATATGGCTGACAGAAAGAGAGATATAATAATTATTTGAGTCAAAGAATGAGAAAACATATCAGTCAATGCATGTTGTGTTCAAACCAACCCCTCTATCTACGTGTTCAAATTTTAAAAACACTGCTTTTATTGTTCTTTTGACTGGTCAAGGATTCACATTTTTTATTTTTTCTATTTTTAATTTAATGATCTCAAGGGAATTCTTTCATTTTCTAAAGTGATTTTGACACCTCAATTTCTCATCTCAAAACCACTTTTCTTTTTCTTCTTTTCTTTCTTTGTGCTGTGAAAATGGAAACTCCCATTTTTCATGCATAACAACATTCCTAATTTTAATAGCATCAAGTGCTTGCCTTTTCTGTCCTCAAACTTTTTAATGTGTCTACGTTTGTTTCAATTCCAAATATTTAATAGGGTACGTTTTACTTTACGTGAAGATTAAGTTTTTGTAATCTTAAACTTATTTTCCTTAATGCTAATTAATTAACTGATTTAAGTTTATAGAATTTAAAAGCTAGTCAACTGTAAAACATTAAATTGCTATATTTTTAATATATAAATCAATACCAACTGTAAAATAATCTTGTTAGAAAATTGTTGTGTAAGATTATCAAAATAATGTCAAACAATTCGATAATTATAGTTTTTAATTTGTATTTTATAAGTTGTTGAATGAAATGTGTATAACTTGAGATAAGTAAATCTACCTCATTCTACCACTATCACCCATGTGTTTATACTAATTCATTTTGTGCATGTATAATACAACTAATAGTTTCTATTTCTTTTGTTAAAAACTTAAAAAATTTCTAAAAAGTAACAATCAATAAAACAAACATCTATGTAATATATTGAAAAAATGATATGGAATATTTATATTTAAACTAAGGATGACCTAATCTTGTTTTCTTTTTAATCGTTAAATACAAATATCTTATAGAATAATAATTATATGAAAATAATTAAAGGAATAAATATTTGGCATTTATAATTTTCTAGTTTAAAAAAAATATTTAAATATAGTGGAATATACCAGGAGAGGAGGACGTGCAGATGAGTACATGGTTTTTAGATATAGTATACAGAGAAAAGGACTTGCACATGGGCATTCATATTCTTTTATCTTTGGAATTTTTTTGTGTGCATCCTTTTCCTCGAATTCTTTTTATATTTATAAGGGTGAGTATCTTTTGTTTGAGCAGTTAAGTTATCATGCATTTGGATTCTTATATTTAGACGTTGCATCTTGTTTTACTCCCAAAAGCAGAACCAAATTTGTAATATATGTTGAAAAGATGTTACAAGTCATGCATGAGAAAATGAAATTTAACCAAAAGCTGACCACATTAAAGAGGCAAAAACCAATTCAAACTTTTCCTGTTTAGGAGAAAACAACTTCTGCTGTGCTCCCATGACATGCATCCATTCATCTTTCTATGTTTTCTTTAATACAATTTTTTAATATTCTTACAGCATTTATTTATTAATTCTTTAACTTATTTTGTTTGGTAAGTATTAGAAAAAAAATACAATTTCAGATAAAAAATGATTTACAGTGAAACATTTAAGATCAAAGTGATTTTTTTTTTTTAATTTCTGTTCTTCTTTCTCTCTCAATCTTCTTCTCCATCTCTCTCTTCTTTCTATATAGTTTAAAACATATAGATTTTCATAATCTTTACTTTGTAGTTGTTTAAAAATCTATATTTAAATTTCTAATCAGAATTTGATAATTTTGACACACATCATTAGTTTCAAATTATTGAATATTATTCGAATGTGATTTTCGAATATTTTTTTGAATTGGAGTTAAAAAAATTACCAAAAGTCCAAAATATTATTCTTAGTATCATCAAACTAACCAAAATCTCATTTTTAGTAAAAATTTAGTTGCAAAAATTGTACAAGCTAAAATTTATACTTAGAATATTATCTATAATATCTAAAATAATTTTTGAAAAATTTTAAACTATCTATATTTCTATATAAAATTATCAAATACTTAATGTTTATAATCAGTTTGAGTTCAATTTTCAGTGAGAAATTTATTTATAATTCTTGAGAATATTTCTAACGAATTATCTTAAAAAATTTAAAAGTGGTTCAATTTTAGTATTATAAAATACTTACTAAACTTATATTACTAAGTTTATTTTTTACTTTAGTGCAAATAGCACTTAAAATAATTTTAGAAAATTCTCAAAATATTTTATAGAATATATTTCATATTTAAAAATTAAAATGACATTCTTAATAATTAGACAAATTTCCTCACTTAAAAAATGAACTCAGACTTATAAGAAAGGTCATTATTAGAAGAAAAAAAAAACTGAAATCTCACGTCTATTATAAATAAAACAATTAAATTAAAAAATATATAAGTAAGGATAATCTCCATCTTACAAATTTACTTTGTAAGATTGAGTTAGTTAAATAATCTACTTAATAAGAGTCACAAGTATTTTTTATAATTTTGATACAAAAATATGGACATTTCCAAACAAAAATTTAAAATTACTCTTAATATTATAGTTTATATTCTAACGAGTAATTAAAGCTTCTCCAATTTTGCAACTTTATTACGGCTAAAATAGGATTCTAGTTAGTTTGATAAAACTAGGGGTATTTTGATAATATTTTGGGCTTTAGTCCATTTAAAAAAAAAAACAAAAACATATTCAAATAATACTCAATAATATGAAGCCAATTATTTAAAAAGAATTATCAAACAACCTTTAAAATTTAAATATAAATTAATTCATAAATAGAGATTGTTGGAGATTAATATATTATAAAGTGAAAGAATGAAGGAAAAATAAAAGGAGAGAAAGATGAAAAATGAAAATATTATAAACCATCTGATTAATCTGACTGTGATAAACTATATGTATGTCATCCTCCAATCACTACCAGATTACAACCCTTTTAACTTTATTCAGCAACCCAACTCTTACTTTCCTCCAAACATAATCTAAATTAATCACTCATGAGAGGGTTTTGAAGGAATATAAAATTAAAAGGTCAAAATATACCATCTTCGGGAGTGTCTCTCATCCATGCCTCATCAACAATATCAATTACAATTCCTAAACTCAAGTCATTTTTCTTTTTTTATTTATTTATGAAAGCACCGTGTTTCTTTTCAATGTTAATATAACCATTGAAATTGTAAAATTAAATAACCAAACATAAATGCCCAACCTATAATACAAAAACTGAATAGCGCCCATGAACGAGGCCCAATATTAGAGGAGGTTCATAGAAGAACCTACTTGCCTTGATTTTTTCGAGAAGCAAAAGAGAAAAAGAAGAAAAAAAATAGTAAAAAACTAGTTTAGATAACGTATTGTACAATCTTGCAGCTAAAAACTAGTTTAGATAATGTATTGTATAGAGTGTTTCTAGCATGAAGTACTTTATTATATACATCATCCATATACTACTAAATTGATCTATTAATGTTGGTTAAAATCGTATGAAAAAAAATAAAAGTCACTTCCTCCAGTCGTTACGCTGCCACTGTCCCCCGCCAGAAACTCCACTCAGTCGTCGCCGCCACCGGTTAATTCACCTGTGCCAATGATAAGGTCATCGCCGCCATCAGCATCGTTCAAGGCCATGGGCGGCGAGGATGTCGACAAGCGCAAGCTGTGGCGGAGGACCTCGGATATGCAAGCCTTGAGGAAAGAGAAGCGATCATTGCCGCCACCAGCCCCATCCACCCCTCCTACATCGCCATCATCGGTGTCACGCAAGGCCATGGGCGACGAGAACATCGACACGCGCGAGCTGTGGCGGAGGACGGTAGCACAGTTCTTGGAGGATCTCGGATCTGCGAGCCTTGAGGAAAGAGAAGCGATCATCGTCGCCGTCGACACCAGCCCCATCCACCCCTCCTACATCGTCGCCACCAGCGTTGCACGAGGCCATGGGCGGCGAGGACGTCGACATGCGCGAGCTGCGGCGAAGGATGCGAGCCTTGAGGGGAGAGAAGCGATCATCGCCGCCACCGGCACCAGCTCCATTCACCCCTCCTACATTGTTGCCACCGGCATCACGCAAGGCCATGGGCGACAACAACGTCGATGCCCGCAAGCTGAGGCGGAGGACAGTGGCGATTTGGGAGTTAAGATTTGGAAGAAAACCAAACCTTCGATCATTCAATTTTTAAATAATATATCCAATGCTTACGGTTTACTTTTGATCATCACCCAAAAGGTCTCTCTGTCATTGAAGTATGTTTATGTTATATATAAGTTGTTATTTCTTGTCTTATTTTATCGATGTGAGACTTATTTGTATCCCAACAATCCTCCCCTCAAACAAAGGACCTAACATTTCATACAACGAAATCTGTCTTTATATATCACATTATCATTATTATGAGTTATGAGGGGTTATGAGAGTTATTAACGCATCCAACTAGGTGGCTTGGATATCACATTTGTCTGAAAGGATATTTTATGAGAGTTATTTTTATAAAGTTATTACACAAGCATACCCCACAATGATGAGATATTATCCACTTTGAGCTTAAGCCCTCACGATTTTACTTTTGATCATCACTCAAAAAGTTCCTCTCATTGAAGTATTGTTATGCTATATAAATTATTATTTCTTGTCTTATTTTATCGATATAATACTTGTTTGTATCCCATCACAAGCACATTATATGACTAATACCGTACCACTTCAATCATTACTGACATCACTAATGATTGAACTAAATTTACCAATCATATTCGGACTAATTTGTAATTTCATTTCTTTTACAGACCAAATTGTTTGGCACCTCTTACAAGAACCAAAATGCTACATAACTCCAATAAATAAATAAATAAAAGTCATTTCTATAAAATGAACTAATTTATAAATGCCAATACATTTACAATAATTTTGCTTTTCGCTTATTTTTATAAATTTCAGCATGTTCCATGAAAGAACTGAATAAGCTTATTAACAAATGTTTAATTATGTTATTTATCTAAACGCGCCTTAAATATGTGAAAATATCTGTCATCCAAACTAAGGATATTTATCTAAACCTACACAAATTGGGAATATCAGATGGCTGGCGTGACCGCATGCTGTAATTTAGTGCCATGTCGTTTGAGAATTTCCTGAGGATGGAAAAAAAAAAAATCTTTTCTTTAACTACTAAAGTTACACATGTAGAAAGGGAGATGCCCAATTATGGGTTGGACGAGAAAATAAGAAATACAAACACGTTAACAAAGGAAAAAGTTAGTACATATTCATACACGGATAATACAAAAATATACATTTGCTAATGCAGTGAGTGAAGTTCCAGCCATCGGTCGCACGGGCACAGCATTGGATATGGTGTTGAGGTTGTGCAGCAGGGACAGCTGCATGGGGATAACATACATTTTAAAATCTCATGCACTTGAAAAGAACGATAATTTCTATCAACTGTATGTACCTCTCAAGAGTTGAGCTTTAAATTGTTGAATTGGTTTTTCAATAACTTCACTGTTTGAGATGGTTAAAAAATCAAGGTGAGAGAATCTCTAATCTCTATACATCTTATGGTGAGAAAGCTCAACTGCTTGAGAGGTCCACCTCTCCCTAGAGTTATCCTGAAACAAAAAATATTTTTTATACGCTACTAGTGCAGAAAATTTTATCTTCTTTGGGTTTGTATATTTTTAACATTACCACAAATGCAACCAAAGGGAGGGGGTTGGTGTAGAAGGCTTACCATATGAGTTGTACATTAATGTGAAGCAAATCTTTGAATTCCATTCCCAATCATTTGTCTAAACCTACAATTAGATAGTAACTTTGTAAGGATAAATAAACAAAATGTCAATTATTGTGGTCCAGATCACAATAACGTAAAGGAATTGCCATGTTAAAAACAAAAAACAAAAAAGCTAGCATGTTCTTTAAATTCACTCAACAAAGAGTTAAATAAATAAGGACAAGGGAGTGTGCTATAGTCCTACAAGTGAATACTGCAAGTCAAAGATACTCACTTGAAACAATCAAACAATTTTTTCATTCATCTCTTCCTCGGAAACCATTGTTACATTTTACTCCAACCAAATTCACACATCACAAACCCCACCAATACTCCTTTTTACATCTGACACGGGTCCTCTAAATTTTAGAGGTGACCCATTTTGCATAAAAAAGGCAATATGAAGCATCCAAGCAGGCAAGATCTAGTAATATGTACTTCTTTATCTTCTAGAACCCCTACTAAAATCAAATATCTTATGGTCACAGAAGAATGCTAGAATTGCAGTCACTGAAATATTGATCTAATAGCAGAAGGGAGAAATATTCAAATTGACTACAACCTGTGGAAAATATAATTTAAAATCAATTTTGGCTTCAATTATTCTAATTTGTCCTTAAAATAGAAGGTTAAATGTCATGGTTGTTTCACCCAACCAACGAAAACGTTTCTGCCAAGATCCTTGCATCAGTACCATGAATTTTGGGGATTGCATCATCTGCATAGCATACCCCTAATCTTCATCAGACATTGATTTTATTAATCATCGAGCATTTATCTAGACGAGAATCAAAACCACCCATTACTACTTATCTAGTTGTCAAATAAACATAATAAATCCTAGAAGAATTAATATATAACCTTGCTCACTGACTGACCCCAATGATGGTCTCCTCAGGAAAGTAACTTGGTCCAGTGCCACTCACTGCATGAGCACCGTCATACTGGAGGACTCTAAGCTTTCCTTCCTACAACCACAGGTAAAAGATCATCAATTAAATAATGTAAGCAAAATCATACTCATTTATCTCCCCCGGCAAAGCCATACCTTTGTTCCATAAACTAGTCCTCCCCCAGCAAAAGGATGAAAACATGCCACATTGACCTCATCTTCTGCACTAGGAAGCACCCTAACAAGTTCCATATCTGACACTCTGTATACCTAAAAAATAAAGCAAATTCGTAGATATAAAATTCAGATTAAAATCATTTGAGCTACAATAAGGGGATAGATGAGATGAATGACAACTGGTGCCAGCCCATAGATTAAACACACATAGTTGATCAGTGGTCAAGACAACAGTGACAGTATAAATTTCAGGATCCAGAATCATGCTTACATCATACTAAAGATTATACAGACTACAAAGCGTGGGTGGATATGAGAGCTACTCGTGTTGGGAAATTAGGAGATGAGAAAAAGAGACTGCATGTTACCTCTAACACTGTGTATATGGGTAATGTTGTTTCTCCATCAATGACAATGCTTTTAAGAAGAGAACCATGGCGTCGACCATAGGCAAGTAGTATATGCTCAGATGTAGGAGAGAACTGCATATCAAATAGCAATTGCACAAATTCAATCCTCTAAACTAAGGGCATTTCAAATTATATTTAAACAATTGAAGGAAGATGACAAAGGTATCTATTAATGTTTACAAAAATTATAAGAATGAATTTAATAATATGTATCATTAAAAAGGGGTACATATCTCTAAGGCTGAGAGAGAAAGGAAATAATTTTTAAAACATGAATATCAAAATAGAGGTACAGACATGTGGAGAGAAGGAACGATAGTGATAGAATACATAAAAATATCTTGATGGTATCTTAGAATATCCTATAGGATTGGTATCCCTATTTCATTATCTCTTATGACTGGTTACCATGTTTTCTTATCTCAAGAATTGTTTTATTTTATTTAGGAATATGATTTACTGGAAACAGAGGGTTAGAGCTCTAGGTTTTACAAACACATCAATACATCGTAATATATCACTTAATATATATGAAGTGTTTCATTCTCTTTTATCTCTTTTCCACCCTTTATACCTAAACCACATAATTTAAACAGATAGAATTATGAATAAAAGAAGAGCACATTATGAAGGTTGGCCCCTAGAATTGTAACTTGTGTTACTTAGGTTGCTGAAAGTGCACGTCTACACAAATTGGTACCCTAAAGGTGTCAAGTTGCTAACATGTTTGTCCTACCAAGTCCGGCAAGTCGTTAATTTGTACTAAAAAATATCCTCAATGTACTAATTTGACTAGATGAATGAAAACTTTCAAAGACCATAGCAATACAAGTTTCCACTTTCAGGCACCAAATAGTATATGTATGTGGGTTTGTGTTTGAGTTTCATAAAAGGAAGGAGAGGGGCACAAACTAGCATAATGATAAAGTAATTAACTGACCTGAATTGAAGTTAGACAATGAGCTGCTCTAATTGCCCGTGAAGCAAGCACCGAGCCAAATCTGTTCAACAAAAATACATAAAAAAATTATTTTGAAGTTTAATGGATTCACTTGAGTGTGTGAATGAAGTTATGATTGGCTGAATTTGTTGAACTAAATGAGCCTTACGTTGCCTCCTCAAGGGAATATATCCGCAGCTCATACATAACTTGGTGTGCTGAGATTGGATGTCGAGTTGGCGATGTTGCAACACCAGGATCTTGGTGTACTGGAGTATGTAATCCTGGATCAGCTTCTATATGAGGAAGCATACATGCAACACAGGCAGCTAAAAATCTACCACATGGTGAAAAATGAGCACCCATTTCACTGCAAAGGGAAAATACATTAAGTCAAAAATAAATAAATATATATATAAATATATATATATATGTATATATATACATATAAAACTCATTAAGTATATTATATGACTTCAATCCAGAAAAAAGCAATGCCTGTGAAGTGAAAATTGCCAAATGATCACAGATTCACAATTGTAATAAAGTATTAAGAATAATGCCATTTCCATAAAGTAATAAATAACAAGTTCATTATCAATCACAGAGAAAAATGAAAATAGCAATCAATTCACATGCTACATGCAAAATATTTTTTCTAAAATGACAATTACTATTTCAACCACATGGTAGGACAGATAACATAACATCAGAAGGTACCTGCAGAGGACAGCATGCGGTATTGTTAGACGGCATTTGTCGGCATTGAGGGGGGCACAGGGATATTTTATGTCATGCGACCATACTCTTAACTTCACAGTGCAAGGCAACTCTGCCGCTGCTGCAGCAGCCACTGATGTAGCAAGTTCTGACTGAATTCGACTTATGATGGCTTGGATATCGGATCCATCATGTGAGGTATTAACAGAAGCAGCAAGATTGCCAGATTCAGGTACAGGTACACGGAATTGTGAAAAATGATTCCGTAAACCTGACCTCATTGAAGAACCAGGTATTGCTGAAGATGGCATTGCTGCATCAACATTAGAAGTGGATGCCATTGTGGAAGAACCAATCTGTTGGGCCAGAACATCGCGACTAACACCCATGTGAGGAAGCATTGAAGGAACACCAACTTGACTTTGACCCATTAACCATCCTTGGAGAAAAGGCAACTCCCATCCACCTGGATCTCTTGAACTTGAAGGAAAAAACTGATGAAATTGACCAAACTCTGAGTGAGCCCCGCGGTTTGCAGTTTGCCTTGACAGTCCATTTAGTATGCCATTCAGAGAATAGGTATTAGTAGAATTTCCATGCTGGCTTCCTTCAGTAGGTCTGGTTTCATCAGTCTCCATACCATCCATTGTGAGATTACTAAGGCCAATTCCCATTCCATTAGAGAAAGAAGTATGAGCAGGATATTCTGTACCAGTTTGAGAGCTGGTGGGCATCTCAGAGAATGTATCCATGGGAGCCACTGTAGTCTCATATTGCTCTGTTGCACTTGTGTCCGCTTGTATCTGTACCATGGCAGAAGACTCAATTTGCATGCTACCTGAGCCAACATCATGACTAGCATGCTGTAGTTCTGCTCTTGACTCATCGGCGGGATATGAGGGCATAAAGAAGAAAGGTAATGACACATAAGGTAGTTCACTGGACAAACTAATATGTTCTGTAGGATGAATATTTGTGACAAAAACAGCAGGCGGAGGATATTGTAAATAACCAAGAGATGTTGCCTCCGTCATTGAGGAATCTGAAGAGTCAAGATCATTGACCTACGCATCAACACAAGTATGTTAACCAAAAGGAAATAAAAAAAATTAACATTTTGAATAGAATAGCATGGGTAGATAGGCAACCAAAATACAACAGTTCATTCACCTCTGCAGTTAAAAGATATGGTGCAGCATGTGGGTGAAAATGCACTGCCCTAAGTGAGCGCTTAGTCTTCAACACAAATACTGGTGAGGATGCTTCACCTTTCTTGTTGTGGTGCCATATGTACAACTGAGACAGTATTTAACAACATAATGTAAAAACAGCTTCCAAAAATTGCCACCAAAATACAGAACAATTCAGTAAAGATTTAAAAAATACAGGATGTTCTCTGAAAAAAAAATACAACCTTGTGGCCTGATGCAACAGCAATTATTTCACCTTTGGCATGAAAAGCAATGGATGCAATGGGGCGATCTGCAAGAAAAAATACCCACGGAATTCATCAAAGAGAGGAACCAATATACAGAGAAAAAGAACTAAGAACATATTTAGTAACAGTTGCAAGAGTAATTTAGGAACGAAAAGAAGAAATACAGAAATGATGAGATATTATGCACTCTGATGAGTTAGCATCCCATAAACGAACTTCTTGATCCAAACTCCCACTAGCAAGTATATGTGGATGCAATGGATGGAACCTAACCTGCACCATTAGCACAAAGTTAAAATTGGAAAAGAAAAAGTTTAGCATCCTGAAACACAAGAATATTTTCCCCAGGAGTGAGGATTGCACACATTAGTTACATCTGGCCAGTCACTTCTTCAGAGTTCAAAGTATATCTCATCAAACTTGGATGGATTCTAGCGTGGGAGAGGTGAACAAATCTCCCACTGTGCGTAACTAATAACATCCATTATTGTTTTTTTTAATAGTTTAACCAGCTTTAAAGGTAAACATCCATTATTGTTTTTTTTTTTTTAAATAATAAATCCACATCACTGATCATTACTGTGTCTCAGTAGTCACTTCCCATTTCAACCTTCTGTTCATGACCATGGTAGCTCCTGATTGCAGCATCCTATTTCTAATCTTTATGAGATTTTTCTATAACCCTTTTTTTTAAATAAATAAATCATATCTAACTTCCTCTAATCCTATATAGTGCTTGACAAGCTTCCATGACCACTGAAACATCCAAAAGACTGTTCATGGTTATCATCAACAACACTTCAACTCCAAACACTAGAAATTCACAAATGGCAATCAATAACTCAATCTACAAATCCATGATGACAAATTAACATATGAAATTGGCTACCTATTACTAATCACCACAAACAACAAGTAGGTCCTGGAACAAGATTCCCTAAGAGTGCAAAAGAAAGACCATACTACCAATTATCCATATAAAATGCACCACCACCAAACTGAGATATCCACTTCTTCAGATAAAATGCACCAGCAGCAAAATCCAACACCACAATGGCATACTTTGCCACATAAATCATGGAAATTCATAGCTCCTCCAGGCAACATTGGTTACAAATGGCAGATCTAACAACAAATGCTAAGATGGGATTGGGTGAAATTATGCAACTTGCCCTCCAACCCGATAAATCCCACTATATATGATGGAATATAGCAATCTTCTGATGTCATCCTTTCATCACAGAAAAAAAAAAAAAAGGATGCAGGTAATTTCTCTTCCTAAACTTACAAAATCTTATCCTTTATTTATCATTGGAGATTCAGATCTCTCAGCCGTAAGGCACTAAAGGGGATGCAGGAAGGTTAGAAATGGATAAGTGTATATCGGGACACAGTAACGTGGATTTAGTTTTAAAAAATAATAATGGCTATTACTGTCAAAGCCGATTAGTAGATATTAGTAATGCACAGTGGGAAATTTGTACACCTCACAAACGCTGGACTCAGTCTCAAATTTAGGGCAAAAAAGGTTCTTTCCATAAACGACAATCAGTACCAAAAGATAAGACAAAAGGAAGATAAAATAAAAAAAACAAGAAATTAAAGCAAACACCAAAAAGGCAGATTTCAAACTTACCACCCACGGTGTCCTCCTATGGCCAACTAACACCTTTAAACAACTTCCAGTTTCACAATCAATTATCTTTACTGTGTGGTCACCACTGCACATAGCACATAACAAGATTCAATCACAAAAGTTTCTTAGATTCAAACTAGAACAAAACAGGATCAACTAGATAAAACTTACTGAGTGGAGGCAAGAACTTTCCCATCTGAACTAAATGCTGCTGCAATAGTAGACCGTGGAGGAGGCAATAAAGGGCAATACTTTGCTGACAAATGCCGCAATGACTCAGCCTCAACCCTGATAATCATTGTTAGAGATGTCAGTTCCTAAAATTGACTTCTTGAAGAAAGCAAAATTTTACATTCTCAAGGTGCTTCCTTTTCCTCAATATAATTCGAGGAAGTAGTCTAAGTACCATGAAAGGAGACCACGCCTTGCATCTCTCACAACTTCATTTTTAGGACGAGAATAAGGACTAGACTTTGACTTCGAAGCTTCTCCCCAATGCCACTTAGCCACGTATTTTGATCGGGGTGATATCTCTCTCCTCGCAAGCAAATTAAATACATTGCTACCACTGGCCAAACAAATTCAACCCATCAGACAAGACAAATATTGTAAATAAAAACATGTAACTTCAAATTCAACCTGAAAGGGCAACAAAAGTTTTCTGCCTCAGTTAGTGAAAACAAAATTGAAGACGATTCAAGTATTGACAAACTTAAGAATTCCTAGCTTTTAGTAGCATGACCGATCACCATGTCAAGCTCATTACATTAATTGACAATGAATTTCCCTACTCCATGACAATCCATCCGGATCGTGCACAAATTTGCCACCAAGTATCCATGATCACCACGCCCCATATTGATTATCCAACACACAGTACAACCTCCCAATACTACAACCTCATCTGAATTCCCAACACCTAGCTAACTTCACACGACTCAAACAGAACTCAATACACAACTATCCTAATTTCACGAGTCAACAACCGTGAATTAAAGTCGATCAACATCAAAAACCACTCTACAACGAAACACGATCCAACCTAAAAAAAAAA